TTCCTGGAAGTACTGAGAAGATCATTTGCGGAAGATTAGAATCAAACCCTGGTTGCTGCGTTGGGCTAACACGTAATTTCATTGGAGATAAACGAGAAAGATTTCTTATTGGAAAGACTCTAGTAAGGACAAATGGAGACATTATGATAAGAATTGCCAATGTTTCTTCCGAAACAGTAAGAATAAAAGAAGGAGACATTATTGGAGCTCTCGAACCAGTGAAGCAAATATCGAACTGTGACCTACCAGATAAGCGACATTTTGTGAAATCCAAATTAGATACAGACACCTTGATGCAGACTTTGGCGAAATCATGGAAACATCTCGATCCAGATAGACTTCAAGAAGCCACAGATTTCATTTTGAAAGAAGCAGACGTATTTGTGATGGACAATCAAACCGGACGAACCAGCTTAATTCAACACAAAATTGATACTGGATTGGCACACCCAATTAGACAACCACCACGACGTATGCCAGTAGCTAAGCAACAGGAAGTGGAAAACCAAATTGATAAAATGCTTCAAGAGGGAGTCATTGAAGAGTCAAATAGTCCATGGTCCGCGCCAGTAGTATTGGTTACGAAGAAAGATGGGAGTCTTAGGTTTTGTGTGGACTACTGAAAGCTTAATGACGTCACCAAGAAGGACAGCTTCCCTCTCCCAAGAATAGACGATACACTAACAACTCTATCGGGCTCTAAATGGTTTTCCACCTTGGATCTGAAAAGTGGATACTGGCAAGTGGCAATACATGCCGATGACAAAGAGAAAACTGCCTTCAGTACCGGAAGCGGGCTATACCAGTTTAATGTAATGCCTTTCGGATTGTGTAATGCTCCAGCTACGTTTGAGCGACTGATGCATCTTGTCTTGCGAGGCCTTACATGCAGAACTTGCCTGGTATATTTTGATGATGTCATGGATTATGGGAAATTCGTTCCAAGAACATCTCAATAACCTAAAAGAAGTTTTTGACCGCTTCCGGAATGCCAACTTGAAACTCAATCCAAATAAGTGTTTCCTATTTCAAAAGAAAGTGGAATTCTTAGGTCACGTGGTATCTGAAGAGGGCATACAAGTTATGGAAGGAAAAATAGATGCTGTCAGGGACTGGCCAAAACCACGCGATAAACATGAACTAAGGAGTTTTCTAGGATTATGTTCTTATTATCGAAGATTTGTGGAAGGATTCGCCAATATAGCTGCTCCACTTCATCGATTAACAGAAGAAAAATCAACATTCAATTGGACCCAAGAATGCGATTCCGCATTTAGAAAATTGAAAGGAGCATTATGTACGAGCCCAGTGTTGTCCTATCCTGATCACAAAGGCATGTTGATTTTGGACACAGATGCAAGTAACACCAGTGTTGGAGCTGTCCTTTCACAAATCCAAAATTCACAGGAACATGTCGTGGAGTACTACAGCAGAACATTATCAAAGCCGGAACGAAATTATTGTGTCACCAGAAGAGAGTTGCTTGCCATAATAAAAGCAGTCGACCACTTTCATAAGTATCTCTACGGACGCAAGTTTCTAATTCGAACAGATCATGCAGCTCTAAAATGGCTTTTAGAAATGAAAACTCCTGAAGGACAGCTTGCTAGATGGATTGAGAAATTGCAGCAATACGATTTCCAAATTAAACATCGACCTGGAAACCTGCATAAAAATGCTGACGCTCTGTCTAGACGGCCATGTAAAGAAGATTGCAAACATTGTCAAAGAATCGATATACATGAGAAAAACACTAGTCCAGCTGTAAGAAGAACGAGCCTGATCGTCGATGACAAATGGACTACCAAGCAAATGAGAGAAGATCAGGAGGCAGACCAGGACATCGGGCAAATTCTACATCTTAAAGAAAATGATGAATGTAGGCCAGAATGGGGGGAAGTGTCAAACAAAAGCTTGATTTACAAGGCGTTGTGGGCCCAGTGGAACTCTCTGGCCGTAGAAAATGGTTTGCTCAAAATAGTTTGGGAAAGTGCCGATGAGAAATCCACTAAGAGCCAACTGGTTATCCCAAAAGACCGAGTGGAAGATGTATTAAAAGAAATACACGACGGAACCTCAGCGGCACATTTCGGAGTTAACAAGACTTTGGACAAAATTCGGGAACGTTTTTACTGGATTCACTACCATGAAGACGTTAAAAGCTGGTGCCGAAAATGCGACATCTGTGCTACCAGTAAAGGCCCTAAACTAAGATCTCGGGGGCCCATGAAACAGTACAACGTCGGTCTTCCATTTGAGAGAATAGCGATAGATGTTGCTGGACCGTTCCCAGAGTCAGAGCGTGGTAACAAATACATCTTAGTTATCATGGATTACTTCAGTAAATGGCCAGAAGTTTTTGCTATTCCCAATCAAGAAGCCATCACTGTTGCCCAGGTGCTCGTGGACGAAGTTTTTAGTCGTCATGGTGTGCCACTAGAGTTACATTCAGACCAAGGACGAAACTTCGAATCTGCCATCTTTAAGAAAATTTGTGAGATCATGGGAATCCGTAAGACCAGGACAACACCTTTACATCCACAGTCTGATGGCATGGTAGAACGATTTAATAAGACCATAGAGGAGCATCTATCAAAAGTGGTCGCAAAGAACCAGCGTGATTGGGACAAACACTTGCCTCTATTTTTACTGGCTTATAGAGCAGCTGTTCACGAGTCAACAGGTGAAAGTCCAGCCAGAATCGTCTTTGGAAGAGAACTCAGGTTACCTTGCGATTTGATGTTTGGGATACCTGAAGAAGAACGGAGAGAAATCCGAGATTATGCCGACGAAGTAAGGGCACGACTTCTGGGTATCCATGATTTTGCTCGGGAGCATATTCAGCTAGCCAGTGACCGGATGAAGACAAGATACGACATGAAAGCCAATTCAGCCGGATTTCAAGAAGGTGATTTAGTGTGGCTGTATAATCCAGTTAGAAAGAAAGGAGTATCGCCGAAGTTGTCTTCAGCGTGGGAGGGACCCTACAAAATAATCAAGAGGATCAATGATTTGGTTTATCGAGTCCAGCGCAACACCAGGAGTAAGATGAAAGTTGTACATCTGGACAGATTGGCGAAATATCATGGGCGTGAAGTTGATCGGGACGATCAACCGTAAGAGGAGGGCAGTGCTACGAAATCGTTAACGCCAGAAAAAAACGGCGTCCGCCAGGCTGTCAAGAATCGATGGCGGAAATACTAGAATCTAGCGAATTATTCTACTTTAATCTGGAAAATTAGATTATCGTGTGTATTCTAGATTTCACAGGAATAGATTTAGGGATATATAAGAAGGCCGGCATTGGTTTGTAAGTTAGTTTTCAGTTCGACTGTGATACGATTTAAATAGTGATTGTAAAGAGTTTAATTGTTGAGTTAGTAATTAGTGTCAGAGTGTATTGTTAAGTGGAATAAATTATTGCTGTGTTAATTGGACTTTGATTTTAGGAATAAACGAAACGAACGACGAACCCAAGATTTCTGTCAGGCAACCCAAAGCCGCGACAATATATCTTAAAAAAACTAAAAAACACGCTTTTATAGTAAATTGAACTAAAAAGTTAAAAATAATTTTCAATATAAACAGAAAATATTAATGAACAAAAAATATTAGAAATATTGTCAAAAAAGCGTGGGGTGCTCAATGTATGAGAAATGTGGAACAAAGCAACCCAGCGTGTATTTTAGTTTTTTTAAACTACATATATTTATTTGTGTTCTTTCTCAAGTCTTTTGGAGGAGGGGGGACGCCACTGTGTATGTTAGTATGTGTGTAATGCATGCAGTTCCATGAAGGTTTCACTTCTACCGGGTGTGAACTGCACAAAATTTTTTTTTTAATCAAAATATGATATCTACAAGCAGTCAAAAGACGCGCGCCGCGACAAATGTTGCAGTGCACGGTGCACGGCTGGTAAAATTCTCAACTTCAAGTGACGATATCTTCGAATCTATGCATCGCACAGTGTCGCGGTTTTTTTCAAAAACTTCCTTGATGTCTAAGCCAATTTTTCAGAAAAACAAAATTATTTCGGTGATTTTCGTTGACAAATTCTCTTCAAAATAAACAAAAAAAATAATGAAATTATCTCAATTAGCTCCGGAGATATTGCGAGGTATGTGTGAAAAAGTATGAAAACTGAATTTTGACAGATTTATGAAATTTTTCGATATAAAAATTGTTGGACCTACGAAAAAATTTTGTATTTAATCATTTCAGGTGGCCATGGACCTATTCCATGGATCTGTGAAGATCTCATGTAGTTATAGGTACCTCAAAAAAAAAAAAAAAAAATCAAGAAGGAAGCGACTTTTTTCTCGATTTTCAGTCCACTAAATCAACAAAGATAGAAATAGATCATCCAATCTATAAAGTTTGAAGGTCCTCGTGAAACCCACAAAACAACTTTGAAATCACTTAAAAACACTCAACAGGGAGAAAGACGAAGTGCGAGACCGGCGAACGGAAAAGGTAAACATTAAATAAATTATTAGTTATGATCAAAAATGATGAATATTCTATCATATTGTCATGTGTTGTCATGTCAACGGTATTGACATCGGACGTGTCCTTGATGTGCTGGTATTTCAAAAATTCTATTACCAGTGACATCTAAAATAACGGAAAAAAGTAATTATGTAGTTTATTACTGGCAATAAGAGATCGCAGGGCCTGCTCAAACATCATAGAAAAAACAGGGTGTTCCATTTAAAAACACTTCATTCATGGCGAAAATACATAAGATAGCTATGTTCATTTTGGATTTTCTCGAAAATCTAGGGAAAGTCAAAAATAAGCCCCTGTTCAGGCCTCGTTGGAACACCCTGAGAGCATCCGATATGGTATGTTTCAAAAAAGAAATTAAAATAAATGAAATGATAGACTTTACTAAAGAAATTTGGTTTGAGGCGCTGGAGAAAATAACTTATTCAACTAGCCGTACCTCTAGAATACGGTAAATTTAAGACACAAATGGAAAATAGAAACAAAATGCAAAGTTATTTTAAAATTATTATATTACAATGCCAAGTTAAAACTTCTAACCTAAAGTAAATGAAATGCAGCAAAGCGATTATCTATCTAACATAATAATACACTGTATTGAAAATCAATCTGCATCAACAAAATACTACTGGTAACTGAACCAAATCGAATTCTATAAAGCATAATCACAATCATACATGAAAATCAGTCTCAGCTACTGTAAAAAAATTTAATCCCATAGTAATTTAAGAGTACCCACTGAGAAATGAACTTTTCTTTCCGAGGCGAGAGGTGAGTCTAAACTATATGGAAATGCCCAGTCAAAATGCAATAGAGAATGATACACATATTAGTTGGCATAATTTACGCGACTCAAATGTGGCTGAGCGCCCTGTAAAACAAATAGAAAAAAACTGGAATATATTTTTCATACTGCATACTAAACTTTACTCTCTAGTGCCAAAAGAAATATCCTATAGAAAAAAATTAGAAAGGTGCAATTTTTGGGGCCTAAGTATAAGATAAATCCATCCCCAAGAAATTACTTAGTACCTAATTGATAAAATACTTTCTAAATACTGGTTTTCTAAGAAACTAAAAATATTTTCTTATTAGCAAATAATATGACTATTTATTGTTAATAGGCAATAGAATTGGCTATACAAAGTACATGCACCACTAATTATTAAATAGACTAGATGTTAACGCTAGTGTTGAAATATACATTTAAATACTGTTTTCAATTTTTAACAATAAGCATAGAATACTTTTTTCAAATCACTATAAACTACATATAATTATGCTGTAACAGTTGAATATATTAGCTGAAAAATATTTAGTATCTTTAATATCAAAATTTTGGCTTCAACAATAAATTTGGCGGATTGTTTATAATAAATTGTAAACTAGTTTGAAGACTTTCGAATTATGTAAAAAAAAATCTGATAGTAACTTGGTTTAAATAATAACTTATAGCTATGTATTCTTCAAAAACAATGATTTTATCATCTTGGACCATTCATTGTTGAACTTAAACAAGAACTTCAAGCATTTAACGCTTTAAATAAATTGAAAAACACAAATTTTCTCCTTCAAAGTTACTTTCTCAAAAAAAAAAAAAAATGTGTAAATTCAATATTAACCTAGTCTGTGGGAAAAACACCCTCATAAAACCTGAATGGGCCAGGAGATATGCACAAGGAGCAGCATATCACTGTGTGATGTGGTACATAAAATAGAACTAATCTACTCTGAAGTTCATTAAAAATAATAGCTTCTTAATAATAAAATCACCAAAATAAATACTAAATTTTACCAACCTGAAAGTAACCGCACCTTGAATATCTACATTTAAGAACGAATAGAATTATTCTACTTTGAAGTTCATTAAAAATAATAGCTTCTTGGCCAAAACAAAACAAAAGTAAACTTGCTAATAAATGAATCAAAGTGAAACTAAAGCAAATTGGAGTACTTTTCCTCTAAGAATGATTGACATTCGAACATTTTTAAATCTCTTGAAAATAATTATCATTTAACAATTTTCCCTAAACCTAAAAGCCTATTGCAATTTTTGCACCCTTAAAACTAAAAACCTATTACTTGTATCAAAAGAAACATATTATGTAAAAATATATCGCTAGAGCTGGTAACTACACTCTCTGAAACAACAAGAAATCTTAAATAGAAACTTTTTACAGTTAATATTTTCAATATTTGTTGCTTCTCTCTTAACATTTTGAAAGTATATTAATGACTTGTTCTTTTCACCAGGGAATGTATGTTTCAAATAAAATGCTTATCAATAAGTTGCTCACAATGACCTAATATCACAGATAAACGGAATTATAAACACAAATTATGGGGATTATTGAATTTTCCCAATTTGAGGATCACCTCTGTTGGTTTTGTTTTGTGAATATTTATTGTTTGAGCTCAATTTGATTTTGAAAAAAGTTATAATTACTCTCTGCAAGATTTCTATTCATTTAATAGCACTAAATTTATCCTGTTTCAATTGGTTACAGCCTGGAAAAGGAAATAATTTTTTTCTATTACTATGCATGAAGTACCTACTCACTTTACGCACTGCTCAAAAGATATAAAATTTCACTTCAAGCACTAGTCCGTAAAGTAATCCACTCTACATACTACTGCGTAAAGTCATGTCAATGACTGATGTCGACACTGTAAGTTTAGTATTTTTCTAGTAAATTACTACTAAATCTATTTTTTTAAACATATTTTATTGGTAGCAGAAAATTTTCTCTATGCAATATGTGTGTAAAGCATCTTTTTTCACGAATGTGAATTTTGACAATTACGCTTTACACACTTGTTGCATAAATAGCATTGGTTGCATTGGTCCACATAATACCCAAGAACGAAAAAATAGTATCAAGTCCACTGGACAAGGACAAGAATTGTACAAAATAAACACAAATAGGTGTTGACAACATTTCTGATGCTTACTTTGTCCAAAATCCCTTACCGGTAAAAGGCCAGATTTAGTCCTGTGAATATTTTTTTCTTTATTTTGTACCAAAGGTCTCGGGTCGTACTCTTGAATAATATTTGGTAGCACTGCGCGAAATCTAAACTCCGCGAGTTGTAGTAATTCGGTTAAAGGTTAAAAAAAGACCAACATATAAATATGAAAGTCCCTACCATGACCCGCTAGCATCTTGCATCTCGCACACCCCTTGCCTACAAACATGTCAACACAACAGAGGGTATTATTCTATGAATGCTATGTCTGGTAGTATTAGGTCATTGCTTGCGCACCGATAAAACTGTTTAGGCTACTCCATTAGTCGTATGGCGATCATTTAAAACTTTTTCAAGTAAAAACGTCTTCAGTTTGCAGTATGCATGTTCCAATGTATCATTAGTGATTATTAGGTCAAATGTTCCGGGGCTTCTACCTGCGAAAGGAAATGAGAAATAATAAATATAAATAAATAAAATAATGGTCTCTTTCACTTATTTTTGAAATTGGCATAATTGGATAAAGCAACTTAAAATAGAATTTTCTGCATTCTTACTTTTGAAAAATTCATAGTCGGTTTTGAGAAAATAGATAAAAGTGAAAACTCTCTAAATAAAAACACCGGATTTATCCGCACAACGTCACAGCTTGCATTTTGATAGTGTTGCCACTAATTATCAGTATTGAACATTTTTAATATATTTAATTCTGAAATATTGGCAAAATACCAAGAAAAATAGTTAAATGAATAATCTAGAGACTCAGGAGTTCATAAGATTGTTTTTTTAAATTATTATCATACATAATCTAAATTTATTTTTTGTAATCAGTTTTAATTTTTTTTTTATCATGGCGCGCTACATCTACATACATAAAAAAGTGTATATGTCTTTCCACGCCATTCTGAGGTTATTACTTGAGCTAGAATTCTCCAATTTGGAATAGAAGCTCGTTGGGATACTGGCTAGAACCTAACGAACCCAGATTTTTAAATTTTGATCTAGAAAAAACCGGAATTCTGTTTTAGGGGCCTTGTTGCGGTGAAGATTAGATTGTCAACTGGGGGTGGGCCACCTTTGTAACAACTGTTAGAAAGGAGGTACTCGACATCACGGTATCTACAACATTTGTTAGTGGCTTCGTGAAAGAGTGGCATGTGACTAATGAGGTGAGTTGTTCAGATCACAGACACATAAAGCTTTGAAATTAGAAGACACAGTCTCATTGAAACTGAAACTTATCGGAACTCCCGCAGAATAAACTGGAAAGCCTATGAGGCAGACCTGGAGGACAATTTGCGGGCCGTAAAAACGACGATAAGAAGCACCGTAGACTTGGACCTAGCAGCGGAACAACTGCAGACCGCTGTTACATCCACCTCCATGAACAACTGTCCTGCAATTACGAGTAATTCCAACAGGAATGTGCCCTGGTGGAATAACGACCTCGGAAAACAAAGCAAGAAAACAAGGAAACTTTTCAACAAAGCAAACCGAACAGGAGAGTGAAGCGAGTACCGTAAAGCTCTGACTGAATACAACAAATAAGTGAGAGCGTCCAAGAAGGAATCATGGAGGAGGCATTGTGAGGTCGAACAGACTCCTCAATGTTCCAGACTCTATCAAATCCTTTCCAACGACACTCCAGAAACGACTGGCTCTCTAAGAACAGGAAATGGAAAATACACTCAGACCGGACAGGAAACTCTGCAAGAGCTTTACAGAGAACATTGCCCGGGCAGTGTGATCCTAGAAGAAAACCCCGAAAACCGTCACTATGTAGACCTAGCCACAACCAGATATGGCACCAGGGAAGAATGGCAAATAAAAAAAAAGTAATAACATGGCGTAGGATGAAATGGGTCAATGACTCATTCGAGCCATATAAATCGCCAGGACCAGATGGGATTTATCCAGTATCACTACAAAAAGGCAATAGAGCACGCTATACTCTAGGCTCCTGATTATATTAAGAGTAAGCTTGGGACTAAATCATATTCCAAAGCCTGGAAAGAAATCAGAGTTGTTTTCATCATCAAACGTGGCAAAATAGGTCAGGACAATGCACAAGCTCTGAGACCCATAAGCCTCATGTAATTTTTGTTGAACGCTCTAGAAAAACTGCTTGAGCTCCACATTCGGGGTGGTGCATTGCCTAACAGACCAATACCTACATGCGGACCAATATGCTTACAAAGCAGGAGCCTCAACTGAAACAGCACTGCATCACCTCGTCCACCGGGTAGAAAGTACGTTAGAAAATAAGGAAGCTATGTTGGGAGCCTTCCTTGATATAGGGGGAGCGTTTGCAACACTTCCTTTGAGGCAATCATGAGAGCTCTTCGCCGACAAGGTATTGTTGATACATGCTGCAGATGGATAGACTACATGCTTCGAGGCAGAGTCATCCCTCCACGCTCCTAGATAAAACAGTAACGGATCGGGTTGCAAAGGGATGTCCGCAAGGCGGAGTGTTATCATCCCTGATGTGGAATCTGGTGATGGACGAGCTGATGGAGCTACTGAAAAGCAACACCCATCAAGTAGTGGGATATACAGATGAATTGGTCATAACATCCCAGGGAAAATTCAACCATACAGTTAGAGATCGCATGAAGCACGCTCTAACAATAGTCTCTAGGTGGACAGAGACTGTATGGTTGAAAATTAGTGCCACCAAATCGACAATTGTCACCTTCATCAAAAGAAGGAAAATGGAGGGACTTGGACCTCTTTACCTTCAAGGAAACCCAGTTACGATGTCGGACGAAGTTAAATATCTTGGGGTAATCATAAACTCAAAATCAACTTGGAACAAACATTTCGACAAAGTAATTAAAAGGTCAGAACTGGCACTTATAATAGCCAGGAGAATTTTCGGAAAAACATGGAGGCTGCGGCCAGACATGATGCACTGGCTATACACAACGGTTGTAAAGCCAGCGATAATAACATATGCGTCTTCGATATGGTGAACAAAGACACAACAAGACAGCGCCAGAATGAGACTTGGCAGGGTGCAAAGACTTGCGCTTAAATGGCATTACAGGGTGCATGAAAAGCACACCAACAGCAGCTATGGAAGTCCTACTAGACCTACCTCCGTTACACATTCTAATTCAGGCGGAAGCCAGGATGTGCCTCCACAGACAACGAAACAACCTGAGCAAACTAACAGTCAGATCAGGCCACACACAAATTAAGGAAGTCATAAAGCTGACAATATTTGACATGATAACTGACTATGCACTTCCCAAATACTCACCCGACATATCCTTTCAAATCCTAATTAGTGAAAGGGAGGAATGGGAAAACCAACATGGACTATGCACTTCCCAATCTCAAAGGCCAGACCTGGTACTTGGGACTGATCAAAGACTGGAAATGGCACAGACGCAGGAATCTACAGTCAAGAAGGAGGATGCGAGACCTTCTTCTCTCTAGGGTCACATACATCTGTTTTCCAGGCAGAGGTATATGCAATGCTACAATTCGCAAGAATCAACAATATATGAGGGCCTGCAAAGACAGGAGACTCACTTTACTCACAGACAGTCGGGCAGCACTGGGGGCATTGAAGAACCCTAAGGCAAACTCTGCACTGGTAATAGAATGCCGAGAAGAACTCAACAATAACCCAATAATAACCCAAAATAACGTCACATTGATGTGGGTGCCAGGGAATAGGGAGAAAAGGCTGATGAATCTGCAAGCAGGGGGTCATCCACACAATACCTTGTTGTCGAACCAGCTTTCGGAGTGCCCAAAAGCACAGTAAGAAAGGAGCTGAAGGAATGGATCAAAGCAAAACATGCTCATACTGGAAGCAAATACTCAAGCATGCAGATGGAAATATCATCATACGTGAGACATGCAGCAAAAGAGCAAAAAGACTACTACAACTAAGCAGGAATGAACTCAGTGTAGCAACCCCAGTAAAGAAAACCTGCAAACAATGGGCGTTTAGATTAAGAAAAAGTTGCGCAATTTAACGCTCAATAAAATAGTACATTTGAAAAATTTCGGACATACTTCGTCATTTTTCATTTTTTGTGTGCTTCTAAAAAAATGAAAAATTACGTGTCCGAGAGGAAAGTCAGGAAAGAGTTAATTTGAGAATAACAGGGCAAGAAGATTGTTTCGTCGCCCATGGCAACTTTGACAGTGAATATCTTGAGAACTAATCATTCGATTTTTAAAAAAATACGCAGTTGTGACGTGAATCAAAATACCTCTAAAACAAGTTACCACTCGACCCATCTTCTCTATCTAAAAAGAGAGGTGAAAGTCACCCCACCCAGGGGGTGCATCCTAGCGAAATACCGATAGGGTCAATAAGTTTCCCCCTTGAATACAAAAATGACGTGTCCGAGCGTTTTTTTTTAATCGACCTAAAAATACCCCTAAACGCCTCTGTTTCGATGTTTCTGAAACACTCTGTATGTATAGGTTACGACCTCGGTTATGACTGAATGATAACTTTTATAACAGTCTGAAATTTGATTGGTCTGGTAATCCAACGCCGTTGAAAATTTCAAATATGTATTGGCTATTTCATGTGAAAAACATTTACTGTTGGCGTGACATCAATGAAGTAGTGAGAAGGTTGGAATAGCCCTTTACCTATCTACTCAATACATATATTTGCGGCCAACATTAGAGTGAAAGAACAGGAGAGATTCATGAGATTTTCTTGCCCTTACTAGCGCTATCTCACTCAGGGTTAGAATGAGAGATATAGGAGATTCAATAGATTTCTTGCCCTTACTAGCGCTATCTCATTCTTGAATCAATTGAATGACGCAAAGCTCATTCCAAACCTTTTTCTACTTCATTGCGTGACATGCGTTTTCATTATTATATGAGGGTCAGTCTTTCCAATTTCCGAAGTTGATGCCAATACTTAATTCCTAAACAGCATAAGAGACAATTTTTGATCTGAGAATGTACAATACATGGGATATTTAATACCACTTTGAAAAAACGCGCTACCAATTTGAGTATGTAAGATTTTTAATAAATATTCAAATATCTCACCATAATTCAGTTCTTCATTTGCAACAGTCAATCTTTGTTTCAAGCTTTCCTCACTCTCTGTGTTTCTAGCTCTTAAACGCCTCTCTAATTCTTCCAGGGATGGTGGTTCAACAAAAACATACCAGGGTTTTAATGTCGTATTTTTGATCTGCTTGACTCCTTGTGCATCAATATCCAAGACACACACCTCAAAAAAAAAAAAAATAAGTAGAGAAGTGTACAATGGGGAGTTGTTATCTATTATTTTTACTGGATTTCACTGATGGATGTATTTTATACAAAACTTTGAAAACAATTTAGTGGTATGAGAATTGACAATAAGTTAGGATCATAAAATATTTTTGATAAATTTATACTTGCCACTTTTAACTGGTTCTGTTACAGAGAAAATCGAGGAGAAAATAATTGTTACAAGCTAATGAAAACTAACCTTTCCCTCATCTGTAACTGCATCAACTGAAGCTCTACTAGTTCCATACAGATTACCACTAAAAGTGGCTGTTTCGATAAATTTCCCATCTTCAATTGCCTTTTGCATTGTTTCTTTATTGGTGAAATGATAATGCTTTCCGGCAATTTCTCCTGGCCTTGGTTTTCTGGTCGTATGACTTACACTAAAGCCAAATGTATCTGGAAATTCTTGCATCATTCTAGTGACAATAGTACTCTTGCCAGAGCCAGAAGGGCCGCAGAAAACAATAGGTCTGGGATGTATGGGCATGTTGGAGAGCCTGAGGACTGAAATTTGAAGAAAAAAAAATACAAAATTGATACATTAGTAACCTGCCCTTTGCTTTTGAGATAGTTTAGTGCACAATGATGAAGAATTCTCAATTCCTTCATTATTGAAAAATGAAAAGTCACATAATAGGTTTCTTAAAAATGTCAAAATATATTTTAAGTGCCGGTACTTTTGCTCTCATTTGACAGCCGTTAAAAATAATCAGGGGTTTGAATGTACTCTAACCACAACATACTTATAGACCTTGGCCCATGCAAAACTTTGACAACGTATCAAATTCGTTATTCGAGAGCAAAAGTATCGGCCCTAAGTGAATCGGTTTCAATCGAGGAATAAATTATTACATTTTGTTGCACATTATATAAGTTAATATGATTCAATGGCTACTTTTTCGTCGTAAAAGCTGGCTAGTATCAAGAAATATTTGCTTAAACAGTTACATTTTCCCAAGTTGTTCGTGATTATAGTAGAAAAGTGAAAGTCTGTGAAGGATTGTAAAGATTTTGGGAGATTGTGATTTTTTACATTTCTTCGTGCTACCCACCTGCGCTTCCTGCTCCCTAGATTTGGGTAACGATGATAAGCAAATTATTGCTTGTGATAGCTGTAGAAGTCGAACACACATGGCTGAAAAATGTTTGGGACTGCTTTTAAGATTGTACCAATTATGGTCAGGAAAATGGTCATGACTCTGGAGGAAGAAAAAGCAAAATCGTCAGATAGCAGTGTTGAAGCTATGCTATATGAAGTAAACCAACGAGCTGCTCGAGCCCAACACTTGCTCATATATAGGGTTATCCAAGTTCACCTTGATAAAATAAATTTCAAAAAAAGACACTAAAGATTGAGATTGCGATAAAATGTTTATTGCATTATAAAGTGTGGTTATTGCCCAAGTTATTGCCATTATGTGTGAATTATTATCATTTGAATCAGCCAATCTCAAAATTACTCGTACTGGAATTTTTTTTTTATAAAGCCCGATTATCTCGTGTTGTGTGACATGTGGTCCCGTCTGCGGTGGTAGAACGATCTATATTCTAAAATGGCAACCATTCAACTAAACAACTACCTGTTTTGTTAACATGTGTCCTTGACCGCTATCAAATGTTACACGTGTACTTTCTCAAGCACAAAATGGATAACCCTATACAATATCCCAGAATCTAACTTGTTGAATCTGGAAGAACGCATAGCTATGACAAAACCTAGAGGCTAGGGATAGAAGGGGAAATTTCTTTGATCCAGAAAGTTTTATGTGTGGGAAAATTGAGAAGTAACACTACCAAAGGAAGACCTGTGAAAGTGGTTTGTGGCTCAACTGATACTGTCAAATTGGCATTCAAATCAGTTCATAAGCTGATTGGGTCCACATACAAAATTTCAAGGGATCAAACACCAATGCAGCAGGAGGTCTATAGGAAAGCAAAGACATTGCTGGATAGTAGAAAGGCTGCAGGTGAAGATAAATTGATAATAAGATCCCGCAATGTCCTACCTGTCGTAAAAACAAGACAACAATAAAAAAACATGTAACTACCCCAATAAAGGTCTATTTTCAAAATGTAGGTGGTCTGAGGACCAAACTTTCAGATCTTCCTAAAATTGTGGCTTGCTGCATGTATGATATTATTGTCTTGGTCGAGAATAACCTAAATAATGAATTCTCAAACAGCGAAAACAAATGTGATGGATTCAGCATATTCAGAACTAACAGAGATGCAATGACTACCAGTGAATCCAGTGAGGGTGGCGTCTTAATATTTGTCAACAACAAAATACGAGCTCAGTGTATTAGGATTACAGAAAACCGAGTTGAGCAATGTTTTGTAGAGTCGTAGAGTGTGAAATTAAGCAAAGTAAATATATAATAGGTGGTGTCTATATCCCTCCTCAATCTTCTCGGGAGAAGTACAACTGGCATTGTCGTTCAGTCGAACACATATGTCAAAAGTACCCAACAAAAAATTTGTAAGTTTTCGGAGGCTACAACCTACCCAAGGTTGTAGTCTGGTCAAATGATGAGTCTGGAATGACTGTGCAATGTCCTGGCGGTGATATAGGTATAGATATGGACCAGTCTTTTAGTTTCTTGAAAGTATTCCAACATAATGCAATACTAAATGAAAGAAATGTTTTTTTAGATTTAGTATTTTCAGTGAGTTGAATGTTACAAAGGCTAGTGAACCACTTATAAAGTCGACTATGCATCATATTAGCTATGAATGTACAATTTCAGTATCTGAAGAAATTGAACCAGATTGTTCAATTTACAATGAATTCTATGATTTCAGAAATAGTGATTTCAGGGAACTGAACAATTATTTATCATCAATAGATTGGGATGAGTGCATTGGTGGTACCAACAGCATTAATGTGGATGTAGTAGCTGATATTTTTTATATTTTATCCATTGGCATAGCTTATTTTATTCCTCTTAAAAAGTACAAAAATCATTTTCCCAAATGGTTTTCTGCCAATCTTCGTAATTTGACACTCCAAAAAAAGAAAGCTCACTCGATTTATATTGAAGACCGAACTAGCGAATTTCTCATTTACGTTCAAACTGCAAAAAACTTTCTGACATGTGCTTTTAAAATTATATCCAAGGTTTGGATTTAAATCTCAGAGATGACCTAAAATCTTTTTGAAGGTATATTACAAAAATGACAAAAGATCATAATTTGCCCAGTACTTTTTGTCATATGTAAATCAGTCAGCATCTAATGGTCAAGATATAGCTAACCTATTTAAAGAATTCTTTCAAACAGTTTACTCAAAAACTCAACATTTACAACACCTAACACCCGATACTCATGACAATAATATAAGTAATGTAATAACAATACAAAACCACAGGAGCTTCAGGCATTTCTTTTACCCAGCTTCCCGGAAGTTAGGTGTGAGGAGCATGTATCTAAGCACCCTGAGATTTACACATCAATGAAGGTTACCATCAAGCAGGACAACTTCAAAAATGCATGGAGGCGTGAAGTCTGGCCAAATGGAGCTATAGTTTCTAGGTTTTTTGCAGGGAGAAGGATGCTACCGAATTAGGAAGATCCTTGAATGAGAAACCAACCTCAGGCAAACAAACAATCAAACTGGATTTGCAAGTCTACTATCAAAATGTTCGAGGTCTTCGTACAAAGGTTAGTAAGCTATACACTAGTATTTTAGCAGAAGACTATGATATAATTGCCTTCGCTGAAACCTGGCTAACAGACGGTTTCCATGATTCAGAACTGTTTGACGACAGATATGCTCTTATTAGGAAAGACAGAAGTCATGGCCGAAGAGGAGGGGGAATCCTAATTGGCGCAAAGAAGAATTTAGGCATGGAATGTGTTCCTTTAAATATTCCTGAGGACTCTAGTCTTGAGTGCTTACTGGTAAAAATTAAGTTTAAGAAGAGTATGTTTTATATGTGTGTTATTTATATTCCACCTAATGTCGATTTTAATATATATGTGCAATTTTTTAATATGTTTGAAGCTATCATGGATAAGGATGTAAATATTGTGATTTTAGGGGATTTTAACCTACCATTTTACAGAACAGAGGGCTGTGAAAAAAGTAAGTTGTTGAATAATTTTTTAAGCTTCTATAATTTGGATCAGTATAATACTGTTTTTAATAAAATGCAAAGGCAACTTGATCTTGTACTGTCCAATATGCCTATAATGAGTTTGGAAAAATCTGATTGCCCAATCTTGGAGGAAGATCAATATCATCCAGCTTTGAGTATGGCTGTGTCTGTATCACTGGGACGCGGGACGGGTCATCTTTGTAGCAAGCAAGAGTATGTTTATGATTATTCACGAGGTGATTTTGAGATGTTGTACAGATTGCTGAGGGATGTTGATTGGGCGGATCTTCATGGGACTGATAGTGTGGATGCATGTACTTCTTTGTTCTATGAGAAGATTTTTGCGTGTTTGGACCGAGCAATACCCAGAAGGGTAGTTAAAAGAGGGTCTTATAGAGGTAGTAACTATCCAGTATACTTTTCTTTGCCATTGAAAAAAAATATTAAATTGAAAAATCATCTTCACAGGCAAATTAAGAAAGGTTGTGCCACCTTACAGGTAAAGAATAGCTACAAGAACCTCAGAACTAAAGTTAAGTATCAAACTGCGCAAGAGTTTCAGGCTTATCATGAAACCATTGAGGGCAAAGTCAACATAGACCCAAGCAGCTTTTGGGACTTTGTAAGGTCCAAGCGAGCAAGATCTGGTATTCCCTCAGAGGTCTGTTATGGGGGTTGTGTGGTGAGTGGTGCCCAGGATGTGGCTGACACATTTGCTCTTTATTTCAGCTCAGTGTTCCAGCGGTCTGAGAGTTCTAATAATGACACGAATGATGGGTGTAACGGTAGTTTCGCATTCTCCCCTATCACAGAGGAACAGATCATGGCAAGCATTAAGAAGTTAAAGCCAAAAAGGGCTACTGGTAGTGATAACATCCCCTCATATATCTATAAGGGATGCTCTGATATCCTGTGTGCTCCATTGATGACACTTTTCAACTTGTGTCTGAGAATGAGCAAGTTTCCTGAAGCATTGAAGTGTGCAGTGGTGACTCCTGTCTTCAAATCGGGGGACGTCAACCTGGTTGACAATTATAGGCCAATTAGTGTCCTTAATTCACTTGCTAAAATTTTCGAAAATATATTGTATCAGGATATCATGAGCTTCTTTATGAATGATTTTTCTCCACAGCAGCATGGTTTCCTGCCTGGTGTTTCAACTGTCACCAATCTAAGCATCTTGAAGGAATTATCAAGGCAATACATAGCTACATCCGGGGTGCCACAGGGTAGTAACCTGGGTCCCTTGTTGTTCTCAATTTTCATAAATGATCTGCCCGACTGCATAAAACATTCAGAGTGCCTTCTATTTGCGGATGACTTCAAAATATTTAAGCATATAGCATCCCCAAGTGATTGTCATAAGCTGCAACATGACCTGGGTTTGGTGTCTCAGTGGTTTAATATTAATAAAATGTCTTTAAATGTTAGCAAGTGTCATGTTTTGAGTTTCACACGTAAAATACAATTTACAAATTTTAACTACAGGATTGACAACATTGCACTGAGTAGAGAGAATAAATGTAGGGACCTTGGAGTTTGCTTCCAAACAAATTTAAGGTTTGGCCAGCATTATGAAGCCATTGTCAATAAATCATATAAGCTTCTTGGTTTTGTAATCAGGAATACAAAATACTTTAAAAATGTCAGGACAATAATAACTTTGTATAATGCTCTGGTTAGACCTAATTTGGAGTACGCCTCAATTATTTGGTCACCACAAACAATGTGCCATGCTGACATGATTGAAAAAGTGCAAAAGAGATTCTTAAGGTACCTGTATTTGAAAACTCACAAAGTGTATCCTTACATGGTCTCCTATAATAGTATGCTGGTAGAATTTAAAATGGTGAAATTGAGTGTCAGGCGTAGTTTGAATGATGTTTTATTTATTTACAATATTGTTAACAACTTAAAGTATAAAAAATGTTCCTTAATTAATGATATAATGTTTCTAGTTCCTAAAATTAATTTAAGAATAAGGGATAATAAACTTTTTCAATGTCTACCCTCAAATAGTTCTCCTATAAATCGCATGATGCGTGAATGTAATTTTTTTATTGAGGAGGGTGATATAGACCTCTTCAGTACAACAGCAGAACAAATTAAGTGTGTGATATTGAATAATAATGTATTGTGATATTTGTGATCGCCTATCTATAGTGATGAGTGAATCACTTTTTTTCTCTTTTTTTTCTGTTTTTATATTTTTGGTTTATTGTTTCTGTTCCTCGTTTGTTTTTTATATTTTTATATTTTGCCTCTTATTTTATACATAGTCTTAATTATTAGTTTAGATTAAGTCTAGTTTATCCAGTAAGCACTCTTACATTTAAGTACATTTACATGTGTTTGTAGGAGTATAAATAAATAAATAAAAAAAAAATAATAATAAAACATACAGTGCTATGAGATCTCAAAGATTGACATCTTCAATGCAATCTCTGAACTTCCAAATAAACTCACTTCTGATCCTGATGGTATGCCTACCAGGTTTTGTATTGAAACAATGTGTCACCTTTGCAAATTTTCTACAATAAATCACTCCAATCATCCATTTATCCTGAAATCTGGAAGGTTAGTAATATTGTGCCCATCTTCAAAAGTGGTAAAAAAGATAACAGAAAATTATAGAAGCGTCTGTGTGCAATTTGCTATTCCTAAGCTATTCGACTGTCTTGTTGGTGAGCAATTGACATAGATGGCTAAAGGACTAGTTACAGACATTCAACATGGTTTCTTACAAAACAAGTCCGCTGCTACAAATCTATTAACTTACCAGTCAGACTTACAAAACATGGAAAACAGAACACAAACAGACGCCATATATAAGGACTTTTCAAAAGCCTTCGATCGAGTTGCTGCAAAGCTTCTATTACAGAAGCTTCAACACTTGGGCCTTAATTTTTGTTTAGTTTTATGATTTGAAAGTTTTCTGACAAATCGCACTCAGCATAAGATAGGGTGTTTTTACTCAGAATCCATTTCCGTTTCATCAGGAGTCCTGCAAGGAGGTCATTGTTCACCACTTTTATTCAACATTTTTATTAATGATATACCAGACTGCTTTATTAATAGTAAGTGTGCTGCATTTGCAGATGACCTTACTTAAACTGTAGAGAACCGTTGAAAGTATTGGTGACCAAAAACTTCTGCAAGCAGACCTAGACCGCCTTTCAGATTGGTGTGCAAGAAATAAATTATTATTGAATGTCCGCAAATGTCACTTTATAAGTTTTACCCGCAAAGCTGAAAGATTTCCATTAATCTATCAAATCAATGATCAGTCATGAGAATGTGTTACATCTGTTAGGGACTTAGGTGTCATTTTGATGAAAAGTTGACATTCGTGGAACACATCAAACATGTTTCTGTTAAGGGTGCTAAAATGTTGAGCTTTATCTTTATAATGAGAAATTGCAAATACTTTTCTCTTGATGCTACAAAAATGGTCTACTGCTCTTATGTTCCGGTCAATATTGGAATATTGTTCGGTGGTCTCACCATTTTTCCAAATTCATTCACAAACATTAGAGCGAGTTCAACATAGGTTCCTGAGAGTTTGTGCATTCAGAAGTGGCATTCCTGTTAATGATCAAGATTACAGTGACATAGAACAACAGCTGATGTGAACTCCTTTGAGCAAACGTAGGGATATGTTTGGTTGTATTTTTGTTTTTAAGATTATCAATGGTCTAATAGATTGTCCTTGAGTCAGATCCAGCCCAGAGTGCCTTATTATCAGGGTCTACGACACCTTACCATAGAACCACTTATGGAAATAGTAGTCCTTTGAATAGGTACATAAATGCTGTTAATAAATTAGATATAGATATATTTAACACATCACTCAGTCTGTTTAGGAAGTAATTTTGCTTATCGATTAAGGGGATTTTTCCTCTGTTTATAATGTCATATTTAGATTTAGACTTAATGTGCACTTCTACCTATTAATAAATTTTTTTTGTACCTAACCAATATGTATTGCATGATTCAAAAGTTAATGGGGTTATCCCCTATATGAATAAATAAATAAATAAATACTCAACCCTCCCTGTTTCAAAATACTTTTAAAACTTGGGATCCCAGAACACGGTCAAAATGGACCCAGATACAAACGTTTTTTTTTGAGTGATTTTGAATATAAAATTTTGGGAATCCAATAAAACATGTTTTTTTTTTATGTTTTAATTTCATTACGTTAAAAAAAACAACAAAATAAACTTTTTATTCGTAAGAAAAGTAGATAGTAAACTGAAGAACAGAGCTAGAAACTCCGAATACGTGTAAAAAAAAGCTTGCTACGACTTGTTGAGTTGGAAGGTTTTAGCGTATACAGAATTTATCCCAAAACCGAGTCATTAGTGACCCATAGAAGAATTGTTTTTTTGAAAAAATCATACAAAAGGCAATATTCTTCACATAAATTAGAAGAATTCACAGAAGATCTCTGACTGAAAAAAAGGCGCGGGCCGCAAGATATTTCTGGAAAATCAGATTTCGGGTCATTGCTGACCCACATTTGGTAAGGCGAGGGTTAAGTATAATGAACACCTTGTTATGTATATTTAAGTCTTCGATACCAGTACTGTTATGTGGTAATGTAGGTTATTTAGATAAACGTTGAAAAAATGAGCTTGAGGATTTATTGAAAACAATAAAAACTGAATGGAATCTTAATGACAAAATAGCCATTTTATCAAAAAGTGCATCTCCCTGGGTCTTGGATGGCGACAATCTTAGTAACTTCTTACTATAATGTATTTCGCGGTTTATTTGGTTTAACTTATCTAGATATATCTCCAAGGATGCTAATCATTTTCCTTTTAGTACCTAGGTCTTGAGCTAGTTAGGTACTCAATTGTGTAGGTAATTATTCTGATTCTGTCACATTATTGGATATAAAAGCAGACAAATCGAACTACATTAGTAGCACCTCTAGTAGAACTACACTACTAAGCTAAGAGCCCACATTGACTCTCCAAAATTCCACAATTCCAGATTGCCTTATTATTTCCACCCAGACTATGCCCATTGCCCAGCTTAAATATACAAGAATTATAAGATATAAATGACCAAGGAGGGAGACACAATATGCTGTGTTGTTCAGGGGCCACCTGAGTTTATAGTTTGTCTGTTAACAATCTTATCCTTGAAAAGTACCTACCAACTGATAATTACCGAAAGGTATTTCAAAGGGAATAGTGAAATAAAAATCTTAATAGCAATAGAACAGGTACTTACCGGCAGAGAAAAAGAACGTAATGTTGGCTGCAAATATGTGGAATTATGAGAAAAGTATTTTGTTAAGCGCTGAGATTGATGAATTCAGAAAAGGAAAAAAAATACTGCTGTGTTAGTACTAGTTGCTAGTGGATAGGTGATACCCGGTAACAGGAGAATGTTTTATAAGGAAGGTAACCGGTAACCACGTCCCAGGGTCTACTACGACTCCCACGCGTCCACAAAAACTGATTTACAAAAAAATTAAGGTTTTGGGATCGAAAATTGAATTAACAAAGTGCCCCAGAGCCACATGATCAACAATTAGCCTGAGAGGAATAAGACTAATTAGAGAATGGTCATGGTCCAGTCCCACTGATCCAATCGAATCAAGTCGTTTAGTCCTTCCTAATCCTGTGGTCCTGACGGCAAGTCGGCAGTTGCAGTTCGGTTCGTTGTTCCCAATGTTGTTCCAAGTTGTTCCAGAGTTCCGAAGGAATGCGGAATGTCGGATGTCAAATTGATGGGCGCGTTCACCATAAGATACGAACGATTGAAAACGCTTAAACGGTTATTCGACTCGTCATCCGACCGGTAAAATTTGAACCATTTCAACATGGATCGGTTGGGTTTTGTGTCGTGACACTCGTGACTAAGCCCGGTATTCATAGACGGGTGCTTGACTCAAGCTCTGATTTTTGGCAGTTGTGATCATCGTTCCGTGCTGCTTGAAAACGCAAATATGGCGTCAAGTCGTACTTGAGCCAAGACGCAACCTTGAGAGTGAGAGTGAATTTCATTGGTTGAAACTAGTTTTCTGACTGTTTCTGACTGTTTTCAACCAATGAACTGACTGACTGGTTTGTGATTTCTGCAGAAACAGGCCATGAATACGTGCCTAAGGACTTGGTTTCCTCGAACATTCATTCGCGGAGAGCGGACAGTCAGTCGATCGCCGACGATAGCGATTTCTGTCCGCAGTGGTTTGCTAGAAATAGAAAATATTTTCCTTGTCACGCGAAATGTGCGCGGTGTGTGTATTTTGATATTAAAAATGTCTCTGAGCGCTGTAGTTCAGCTGCGCGACTCCGCTGTAATCAAACTCGACAGATATGAACCGACAAGTCGCCACAGGGCTGGGATCATGACGAGTAGAATTCTACTTTCATGACGTCACTCGCAACATATTTATCGTGTACAGTACAGCGATGATGATGGTTGCTAGGCAACCTGACGTCATGAAAGTAGAATTCTAGTGAAACTCTACTTGTCGTGATCCCAGCCCAGGTTTGCGGAGCGGAGCAGATCCGCTCAGGTAAGCGAATTCGACGAAACCAGTCTATTTGAAATGCTCTGGTTGGATAAAATCGTTAAATCGCGACGGTCGTTGGACTGTTCGCTCTTCGCGACCTAATGTTCGAGGCAACCAGTCCTTAAAGCGTGCTCGTATTCCCGTGTAGAATAGGTCAAGTCAATGCAGACTGAGACTGAGGTGTTTTCTCGCGTCTCAGATGTTTTAAAACGATTTTGAAAACTAGTTTAAAACAGTGGTATATGACGTCATAACTTCTCGGCGCGAGAAAGTGGTTTTAGACGTGGATTGGATTGTATTTCGAAACGGTTTGAAACAGTTTTGGTGTGACGTCATGATAGGTTCATACGAGATTTCACTAGCTGAGTTCGGAAAATAGTTCCAAGAGTAAAAATATGTAAATTGTGACAGTTGTCACGTGTTTAACTTATATAAAATCAATTTGAAGTCACGTGTAAAAAAATCTGTCGCATCTACGATGTTACTACCCAACTCGCCAACTGTTTCAAACCTGTTTTGAACGAGCTTCAAAAAAGTAAACGCGAGAGAACAGCTCTGTGTTGCTCATGGTCATGGCCACTACAATACTTTTTATTTTGTTTGCTATCGGTAATAATGGAAAAGGGTATAAACATGACCCATGAAGAAGCTATTTCTAGTTCCTACATACTTTTTGAAAAACGGTCTATTAAAATATTGTTTTGAAGGGATGGTTGTACAGTACATCATAAGTTGTATTCCTTTCAAGAGTTTGAAACACTCGAGCTACTCGCTCCGGTGTTTAGTAGCCCCCGATTTGCAGGGAATAGATGCGTGGTACGGTACGACAAACACTTTTCGAAAGGAATAAGCGTGTGAAGCCCCGGAGCTGTTCCGGAGCTCCTCCTAGGTGTGAAAGGAATACAACTATAGAGAACAGTACTTATGGCCGATTCCACCAACCATTTTAGGGGAGCCCTAACGATAAGTATTCCCTAAAATGACATTTTTACATGGAGAAATGTCAGTTTAAGGCATACCTATCGTTAGGGCTTCCTAAATTAGTTGGTGGAAATGGCCATTATTTATTTAGAAAATTGAATATATTTTCCACAAAAATGGGCAAAATATGTCAATACAACAGTTTTTGACACTTCATGTTGGAAAATTAGAACGATACCACTGATCTCAAAAATAAATGGATCAACAATCGTACGGCTTGTCGCTTGATTGGCTAAGCTTCTTGTGCAAAAATTTGGGGTCAATATTCTACGAACAGTTGTGCAACGGAACAGCCTAACGCCTGCGCAGTGTCTTACTTTCGAACAATTGTTCTAAATTTTGAAATATCCTTCATTTTCATTGGCTATATTTTGCGCACGCACAGTACATGTATCTACTGTGCACGGTCACCATTTTCGACGTCATAACTAAGTCGTCAGCTGTTTAAACAGCCTTCGTCATGGCGAGAAATAACATGCTGCCTACGTCACAATTGCTGTTTTTGCCGGGCAGGGGGAGGGGGGATTTGTTCCAGACAGGCCTTATGAGGATCCTGTAGCATTTTAAGAAATGTTTAACAATCACGCTTTGAACGTTGATTATCGTTAAACCTCCCTTATGGCGGGTATTATAAAACTACTTTGACAGTTAACTTAAAGTTAACTCATCCTTCGTCCTCATGTAGGTAATTCTAGAAGACTTTAAGTTAACTGTCAAAGTAGTTTTATGAAACCCACCCTTCAGCCTAGTACCCATAACCGCGAATTGCGGATTTTTATTTTGCGGATTTTTTTCTATTGGTCGCTTATATTTAAATTTGACAAGTTTGAATATAGGTCTCTTTCTGCAGAAATCACAAACTAGTCAGAGCCAATTTCATTGGTTGAAAAGAGTCAGAAACAGTCAGAAAACTAATTTCAACCAATGAAATTCACTCTGACTGGTTTGTGATTTCTGCAGAAACAGACCTTATATTCGAACAATAGAAAAAAATTCGCAAAATAAAAATCCGCAATTCGTGGTTATGAGTACTAGGCTTTATGTTTATGCCTCATTCTCACTTGCGCGAATTCCGCTCCTTTTACGTGAAATTCGCTCTTTTTTTGACATTGCTTCAACAATTTGACGTTTTATACGTGCATCAAACGTCAGATTGTCGGACCAATGTCAAAAAAGAGCGAATTTCGCGTAAGTGAGAATTAACCTTTAAGATGGTCGGTGCAGACCACTGATCTCAAAAATAAATGGATAAACAATGAACGCTTCTAATGCTGCTAATTTACGAGGTCAAAATCTAAACAAAAACAACTGACTGGGACAGCTGTGAGCGTGCGCAGTAGATACATGTATTGTGTGTGCACAAAATCTGGCCAATGAAAATGAAGGAATTTCAAAATTTAGAAAAGTTGTTCGAAAGATAAGACACTGCGCAGGCGTTAGGCTGTTCCGTTGCACAACTGTTCGTAGAATATTGACCCCAAATTTTCGCACAAATTTTGCCAATCAAGCCGTATGAATTGTTTATCCATTTATTTTTTAGATCAGTGGTGCAGACGGCCATTAATTGGCAAAATATTAAATTAATGGGTCAATTCTGTGCACATCTGTAAGCAAATCTATAAATTTCTATAAGCTTATAGACACTGCAAAACGCATCGATAGCCAAACACTCCATCGGAAATATTTACGATCATATAATATATTCTGTAATCTACAGAAAGTGCAGAATCACAAATTGTCTTTAGGCAGCTATAGGCTGACCAAGTATAGTTGTATTCCTTTCAAGAGTTTCAAACACTCGAGCTACTCGCTCCGGTGTTTAGTCGTCCCCGATTTTCAAAGGAACTGATGCGTGGTGCAACAAACACTTTTCGCGTGAAGCCCCGGAGCTGTTCCGGAGCTCCTCCTAGGTGTGAAAGGAATACAACTAATAGTTGTATTACTTTCTAGAGTTTAGAACACTAGAGCTACTCGCTCCGGTGTTAGTCGACCCGGATTTGAAAGGAACAGATGCGCTGGCTTTCGTGCATTTAAATGATTTAGTTCGGGCTTGAGCACTTGGTTCAACAAACACTTTTCGAAAGGAATAAGCGCGTGACTCCCCGGAGCTGTTCCCGAGTTCCTCCTAGGTGTGAAAGGAAAGGAATACAACTAATGCATAAAGCAAAAGCCCGCGGAATCAGAACCTGCGGTGCAAACACCCTACGTTAAGGCGAGAAACGACATGCTGCCTACGTCATCACTGGTGCTTTGGCGTGGTGGGGGCTTCAGATTTCTTCTACACAGGCCTCAAGAGGATAGGCTATCCTGTAGTAGTAGTGGGTCTTATTCTTGGTTAGAATCCACACTACCCACGTACCGCTCTAAAAGATAGCCAATTTTAAGCGAATACGGAGATGAAAAGAGGAGTGGAAGCACGGAGTTGAAGAGGAGTTGGAGGCAGTCGGAGAAGAATGCGCAGATTCTTTAATCTACAAATGTGTTCTTAGTTTTAGAGTGAAGATAGCTATCACTGCCATCAGTAATCACGTCGTAGGTTCTACTATATTCTATTAATTTAATTAACTAATTAATTGTCTACAAATAAAAAGAAACAAGCTGCACAACACAACTGCTCAACCAATCAGTTGTCTGTCTAATCATCTACGCTACGACCCGCGTGTGGCTTAAATTCACCAAAATCCAGCAGCCACGGAAACGGTGATTTAACGAAAAAGATCAGTGCACAATCTTCAAGAGCTGGTGCGGAACTGATTGCACTTGGGGCAAAAAGAGCTGCACGTTCCTGATTCGCATTCAAAAACCTGCTCTAAAATGGCCATTAGTTGTATTCCTTTCAAGAGTTTGAAACACTCAAGCTACTCGCTTTGGTGTTCAGTCGCCCCCCGATTTTCAGGGAACAGATGCGTGGTGCAACAAACACTTTTCGAAAGAAATAAGCGCGTGAAGCCCCGGAGCTGTTCCGGAGCTCCTCCTAGGTGTGAAAGGAATACAACTATTGGTGTAGAAATGTATCTATCACTCGTGTAGTACTAGTCTGGCCAACTGAATTCGCTATAAATTGAAAAAAAAGTCCATTCGTTCATAATCATTTTTTGCAGTTGCACAAAAAAAAAACGAGAAATAGAAATGAATCTGCAAATTACCCATAAGAGGATAAGAAACTTTACATCGAAACTCGAAATCTATCAATTAAAAATAACAAGTTTCTGAACTGTAGTGAACTGTTGTATCTTGGAGATCCCCCTTTTGAAACTACCAAGAAATATACAAAGAACACTTTGCAATATGTAAATAGTACTTACAAATGGAAATTAGACTGTTAAAGCCTGATGTGTTTGCTGAGTCGAGGGTAATCCTTAAGTTTAAAAACGATGATTCAGATGACGCCGCAATAACAAGTTATTCCAAGTTTCTCAAATCCCAATTAGATTTAAATACAATAACTAGGAATGAAATAGTTTAATGAACGATCAACCTGCTGATGATGAACCCGATGCCAGAAGAAAGCTTTTAAAGTCAAAAGTTAACCCAAATTATAAAAACACCAGGATAAATGTAGTTGTTGGTAAAACCGAGATTTACAAAGAAACTCCAATAATGACAGAACATTCAAATTCCACAATTAATCACTTAATATTAGTAGATGCAAATGATCTGAGAAATAATGACCATTTGGATAGTTCCATAACTGAAAACAAAATGGGTTTGAAGCTTAATAAAAATGAACCTACAGAGATGAAAGCCATCATCAGGAGAAAGTTATTAAAACCGAAAGTTAAATTGAATTTGAAGAAAAAAACCAGAAATGTAACTGATAGCGGAAGTAAGTTTGCAGAAGTGCCAATAATTACAGAAGTTCAAAGTCCTTCAGAGATTGAATTCAAGTTAGAAGATTCAACTGACCACTCAACAATTACAACTGAAAATGAGACAATCTCTGAGCTAAATAAACCCATCGAAGTAAAACCCATTGCCAGAAGAAAGTTTTTAAACCCTCAAGTGAACTTGAATTTTAAAAATAATGTCGGAAATGTAGTTGTTGGGGAAAGTAGCATCTACAAAGAAATTTCAACAACTGGGAAAATTCCAAGTTTCACCAGAGAGATCGAATCAAATACTTTGAAAGATTTGAATGAATCTATAGACAAACAAAAGGCTACTAAAAAAATAATAATTTTAAGCGATATACGTATGTTCCTCCCAACAAGACTAGATAAAGTTGCAAAAATAAATTCAGAAACAGCCAACAATGCTACTGTGCCAAATGCTGATGTTATGTTGAATAAAGCTCAATATAATTCTGATGAGGTTTCACAGAAAGAAAATCCAACAGTAATTTCTTGTATGTATCCAAATTATATCATAACTCAATTCATACTAAAGAAATGTTGTGGACTTATATTATATTCAACTTTCAATGCAAAAGAAAAACGCTCAAAAAAACCTAAAAAATTTAGTCAAAATTGGTTTTCTTAGATTCATTGAATATACATAAACTTGTAGTTTATTCTAACTACATACATAATGACCTATGTTATATTGCAAAAATATAGCTACTTAAAAAAATCCACAGTGTTTCTCAAGGGTCTCTTTCATTTGAATCTCACCTACCACATTTTAGATAATATTTATTATTATTTTTTTTTTCCAGCGCCACATAGAAGATGCATTTCAGAATCACAAGTGGCAGATTCAGAACATCCAGCTCCAAGTCCAAGCAAACTTTTGAGGCACCATACAGAAACCATTGCGAAATTAAGTATTGGAACAGCTAGTTGCAGCGCTAGCGAATCAGAAGATGGATCTCAAAAATATGAAAGGATTAATAATAACTCTGTCTTGGTAATATATGTGATTATAATAATACATATACCTACAGGGTATATCATTTAAAACGAAACAGGCTAAATATCTGATGTCACTTTTATTTTTTCAAAAAATCGCTAGTACACATAATTTTTGTGTTTGAAACATTTTCAGCACTAATTTAACCCTATAGGGTGGGTGGGACCAACTCTCACCATTCCAAATGAAACAGGGGGTGGAGTGATACCTGTTTCAAAAGAGCATTCAATTTTTTTTCAAATGATATCAAATGAAAGGGAATTAAACGCTCTTTTAAAAGAGGTATCACTTGATCCCTTGTTCCATTCGAAATACTAAGGGTTGGTCCCACCCTGCCTAGAGGGTTAAAGTTGAAGTGCTAAAAATGGTTGCAGAAAATTTCCCCCTTTGAAAATCAAATTACGTGTACAAGCGATTTTTCAAAAAAATTAACGTTGCATCAGTTATTTAGCCTGTTTCGTTTTAAATGGTACACCCTGTATAAATTTATAATAAGAAGAATGTGCTTGTCAGTTAAATACAATGATGAAGTACCTGCTATATAATGGTGTGATTCTCAGTGTGATCAATCCCCTAGGCGGATGTCTATAAACCTAGCAGCGAGCCTAGCAGTCTCACGGTGGAAAAAAGTTCAGGGTCTAAATAATAATTAGGTGCTTTTTAGGTCCTAATTAGAGCCTGTAATTAAAAACTAGGTGCTCCCTTATTTTTTAAGAAAATCAAAAAAAACTAAGGGACTGGGGTTATGAAAACTAGAAGTCCCGTATGGGAAAGAGTGTTTTTTAAAAAATTTCTTTTGTATCAGAATTAGGTGCTTTTTAGGTGCTTCTAATAGTTGAAGAAATAATTGAATTGGTTAACTATTAACTGAGTTACACATTTTTTATCATTATTAGGGGATGGCTGGCTTCACGTTCACTTGGTGGTGTGGCAGAGGCTAGAATGTTTCTGTTATTATATTGGAATTAGGTGCTATTTAAGTGCTTCTAAATAGTCGAAGAAAAACTTGAATCAGTTGATTAACAGGGGACTGGTGGCTTTACACGTTGGTGGTGTATTTACAGCGACGCTGATGTCAGAGGCTAAAATGTTTATAAATAGGGATTAGGTGCTATTTAAGTGCACCTAAATAGTCTAAAAAAAAACTCCAACCAGTTAATTATTAACAGAATTACAGATTTTTTTCATTGTCAGGGGACTGTTGGCTTTACATATATTTCGTTGTTTAGTGACAGCAAATCCAATAATGGCTCAAATTTTTTGTATAGGAATTAGGTAAGCGTTTTTTAGGTTCCTTAGTATTCAATTAAAGTTATTGCGAAAGATATAACCTAGGTACGTATTTTTGAAATATCGAACTAACATGACAACTCTTGGATTCAACGAAAATGTAGCCGTTTGAACACCTGTCGCTGTCGGTTCGCTGTCGTTTTTTCGATGACTTTGACGTTCGTTGAGTTTGTTCACAAGCCAGGTTGACATCAGTACGTTTTATGATTTTAAGCCCGGTCCAGACGCTACGTTACTGATTACTGATCACGTGTTGAATTGTGCAAACAAAACGTTATGCAAACGTAGCATTTGGACCTTGCTTTTAGATGTATCGATTCGTCGAGCTTCACTTACTCTTAATTAAAATTAAGCGTGTAGATAGATTTTTTTTCAAACCGAAACAATAATTTTTCATATTCTATGAAAAGGAAACATGTATTTTAAAAAAGCTATCAAGGAAAAACTAAAAATGTATTCAACATAAAAAATAGAAGAAAAATTAGGTAAAATAAAAACAAAAGTCCTAAACAGATGATATTATGTAGCAAATGTTTAAACAGTCCACCTTCTTGAGATAAACAATGACCTAAACAATTATAGAAGGCTCTACGAACATTATTCAGCATCACATGGGTGACAGTTAGATATATTTCTCGAATTTTGAAACGCTGCTGCTCAAGGTTCACGGCACGATCCTCCTGACCACCATACATTTTTGATTTGCAATAACCCCAGAAAAAATAATCGTTGATGGATGCAAGATCGGGAAAGCGGGCTCGCCACAGTATTGTAGCTCTCGACCCAGAAATGAGACGGTTTGGAAAAATATTATTCAAATGGTCCAGAATGAAACCCGTGTTTTGGGCTGGACATCAATCTATGTTGAAACCATATTTCATAAATTCTAGGACCAGATAATCTTCTTATTTCTGGAATTATCTGCCGTTGCGAAAAATCCAAATATACCAGTTAAGTTAGCGTCAATGGAGTACGGCCCAATAATATGTTCTCCATACAAACCGCTCTAGACAGTTACCTTCTGAGGACGCTGGGCTCTGCTCTAAGTTCAAAATACCTGTGTTAATTCTCCGTAGACCATAGACCAATAACGGGTGTGACTAGGATTATGTCGACAATGGAGTTGAAATGTCGTTTCATCTGTGAAAACAATTCTTCTAAGAAAATCTTCGATTTCATTTTTTTTTATTTCATCATTAATCAGTTTCACAAAACTCCATTCGCCTAATGTTGCCCTTGCATCAGGATCAATTTTTTGGGAGTTTCGTACTTTGTAGGAACGATCCTTTTTTTTTCTGTGGCTTCCTCACCGTCCTTGTACTTGAGTAAATCTCGTGCGCAAGCGCACGAGTAGAAATAGTTGGAGTTTCGTTAACTAATGCCAACAACCAACGACATATTCGGCTTCTTGATCCTCATTATTTTACTGGACGTCATTTCGTTTATGGTTTCGGGGAGAAACACAACCATATTTTTTAAAATTATCAACAATCCAAGAAACTTTTTACCTGGTTGTCACCAGGTTAGCGCTAAATTGATTTGTCATTTTCTGACATGCGGACGCCTGCAAATTCGTCAGGTTACTTCCTATATACCTAGTAGCTTGCCCCTCACTGTATATTCATTTAAAAAAATAAAGGTAACGGTAACATAACAACAACATACGAAAATGCCAATAAGAAAAGGTGTCACTATGTAGGCAGCACATATTGTTTGGCTAATGTCAGCACTAATTCTTTTCCAGGACATGTGAGTGTCTAACAGCAGTTTCGCTGTAAATATACCTCCGAGTAAACGTGAAGCCAGCAGTCCACTAATAATGAAAAAAAAAATTGTAATTCAGTTAATAATTAACTCGTTCAATTTTTTCTTCGAATATTGAGGAGCACTTAAATAGCACCTAATTCCAATACAACAACATATAGGCCACTGTCATCAGATCCGCTGCAAATACACTCCAAGTAAAGGTAAAGCCAGCAGTCCCCTAATAAAACAAAAATCTGTAATTCTGTTAATAATTAAATGATTGAAGTTTTTCTTCAACTATTTAAGAGCAATTAAATAGCACCTAATCCCAATCCAGAAAGATTTTAGCCCCTGACATAAGCTTCGCTGTAAAAACACCACCAAGTAAACGTAAAGCCAGCAGTCCCCTAATAATGGAAAAAAAATCTGTAATTCCTTTAATAACCAACTGATTCAAGTTTTTCTTCGACTATCCAGGAGCACTTAAATAGCACCTAATTCCTATCCAGAAACATTTCAGCCTCTTACACACTACTAAGTAAATGTGAAGCCAGCATTGCCCTAATAATGATAAAAAATCTGTTGATAATTACTGATCCCATTTTTTCTGCGACTATTTAGGTGCACCTAAACAGCACCTAATTCTGATACAAACGAAAAATTAAAAAATATATTTTTATCATAGGGGACTGCTAGCTTTCATAAACCCAACAGTCCCTTTTTTTCTGTCACCCTTTCGAACCCATGCTCTGCACTGAAGCTCATTGTGGCTTATTGTACATCATTTTGCATGGACTATACTCCTTCCCATTCATACTAGAGTCTAAATGGTCGGCCTTATCAGGCATTCCCCACCCTAAGATGGTCCGATTCGCAATCCATGGTTGGCCATTCAGACTCTACCGACACCACGCAAGCCTGAGAAAGTCCTTCCACATCCTCTTGCCAAGCCAACGAGCTGGTTAAACACCACAAATTCGAACCTGGGACCTGCAGCATGCGAAGCAGATACACTAACCTCTACACTGCCTAGGTCGGCCACCCTTAGTTTTTTTTTTTGATTTTCTCAAAAACTAAAGATGCACTTAATTTTTAAATAGATGCCCTAATTAGCACCTAATTATTATATAGATGCCCTAATTAGCACCTAATTATTATATAAACCCTTAACTTTTTTTCTACTGGGACTGTTAGGTTTAAAGACCTCCAGAGTTCTAATTCTTGAAACAGGGAAGCAGCGTTCCCAAGAGAACGAGTGTTCCGTCTTTCTTACTCATATTATCATTTGCATATCATTGATAAAGACGGTACACTCGTTTTCCTGGGAATGCTGCTCCCCTGTTCCAAGAATAAGGACTCTGGGCGGAGAAACACAAGCGCCAATCTGATAAGCAAAACCCTGAGGCAAACCCCAAAGGACTCAAAACATGGCTAAACCTACTAATTGATTATGTAACAAATTTCCATTCCTGAATATCAAACCGAGTATCAAACAAATTAAATCATAAGAGAAACCGAAATTGACTTGTTTTATCAAAAATTTAAACATCATTTTCTTAGAGGCCTTGGTGTCCAGTATATTTTTACTGAAAATGACAAATTTATTAAAAATACTGGAATTTAATTGCTTGGCTAAATAAAAAATACTTTCATTTCAGGTTTCTTCAGTTGCTTCAACTAGTATTCCTCTGAACCCTGCACCACAGGCAAGATATCAAATGTCACCAAAGAAATTGATTGAAACTAAACAGTTGAAGAAATTGGCAGGCACAGAGAGAAATGTTCAAAAAAGTTTTGGTGTCAAAACCTGTGGCAAACGGAAACTTCGAATGGTTGACTTAATTTATTATAATTCTGAAGCAAATCCTATGAGGTAATTTTACAAGTTTGCAATTTTCATGTTTTTGTTGAATCAAGTATCTAGTTAGTTCAAAATCCAACGGTTCCTAATCATCAAAAACAAGTAGGAAATAAAAAATACAAAAAATTCAGCTCAAAAATAATCTCGAGAATAATCCATAACAATTATTATAAAAATATCAATTTCGCCTCAGTCAAATAAAATACAATAATTATTATAGTCAATACTCAAGTTATTATTTAGGAAAAATTGAAAAATACATGCAAGACAACAGGTGACACCCATTACATTGTTAAATAAAAAGTACGCATTAAAAAGGAACACCTCAAATTATACAAATAATATTTTTTATATTTTTCAGTCAACAAAAACCCAAAGACAGTAAATCGAAAATTAACAAGTTTAATGATGAGAAACAAGTAGATGTTCGAAATGAAGGACATAATGAAGATGGTACAGACAACAATTTTGGGCCGCAAATAAAAATATGTCCGTCAGGAGAAATTGTTCTAGATGAACAAAGTTTAGTAGTAGAAAATGCAAAACTAGCAAAGCAAATAGAAGAAATATCTAATTCCTCTATAGTAGATGGAGACTTGAACAGAGGGTATGGTGTTTATGACAGAGCCAAACGAGCAACAAACTGGACTGAAAAAGAAACGTCAAAATTCTACAAAGCACTTAATCTCCTTGGAACAGATTTTACAACCATGACTGATCTATTTCCTAGGCGAAACCGTAGGCAATTAAAAGATAAATTTAAAAGAGAAGAAAAAACTAATTTACATCTCATTGATCAAGCCCTTCGGGAGCCTTGTACTTTTACTTATAGTGATTTTAAAAGGGAATTGCGTATTGAAGAAGAGGAAGGAGCAGTATTGACAAAAATTAGAAATGAAGAAAATGAGAGGCGAAAACAAAGGAAGTTGGAAAATTTGAAGCCAAAAGCTATTGAAGACAAGCAAATAATTAAATGTAAGTATATTTTATATTTGTACTACTTAACTTGCTGGGTCTTGTGACCAGTCTCATGTTTAACTCCGTCTGAGGGTTGAAAATGTTGTCTCAACTAGTATGTACAGTTGCGGCCATTGAAATTGGAACAAATTTTTGAACGCACCTTGTATTGCACTTTTTTAACAAGCCGTTAATGCCAAAATTGTGTCAGTTTTCGCTTTATACAAAGCGCGTTCAAAAATTTGTGCCAATTCCAATGGCCGCAATTGTACATACAGGTAGAATTTTATCATAAAGTTTTTTTTGGCAAAGTTTTTTTTAAAAATATGCTGGTGTATTTTTTTTTTCAAACATTTTCCAAAGTAATATAGAATCTGTCTCACACTTAGTCTCACATTGAATGACTATTTTTTTAGCTAAAGAAGCCTTAGAAAACTCGAATAAAATCTCAATCCCAGAAACTAAAGCAAAAAAATCTAAAGCCAATCAAGAAAAAAAACCTCTTACCATCTATAGTGTTCTTGATAGTGAAGAGGATTAGTAGGTAATCAGAGCGTTCCTAGGAAGCATATTTAGAGGCGCCTATACAATTCGAGAACATCCACCTGAAAAAGACATTATTCAGGTGGATAAAGATACATCAGGTACAATACAAATAAATTATTACCTTTCTTAAATGAACTATATCAGGCTACCTTTGAAGCAGAAACTACAGTGAGAAATTCACCAGTTACATTGCTCAGTAGTTATACCTATAGAAGAACGTCCAGAAAATAAATCAGAATATGAAGTATTTATCATAACTCCAGATGAAAAAATGGTTTCTTCCCTTGCGACTAGACTTCAATATTGTTATGCTACAGAGTTTTTATAATTTGAGTACAACAGTTTTTTTTTTTCTATTGTTATTAGAGTAAGTTGACATAACTAATGATGTATTGCATAATATTTTCTTTTATGAAATGTTAGAGCTTTAAAAATTAAATTTCATGCTATGTATTTAAAAAAAAAAATTATTATGATTTTACTTTGGTCAACTGCATATTTCTTTTTTGTATAGGATCCATAATGCTTTATTAATTATTTCTATTATGGTGGCAGTCCGCCACCAACCCCAAAAGGCAAGGGACCGCGCGGTGGCGTTAGGTCCAGGTGCAAAATAATTTTCAAATACTGCATCTTAGCGCCATCTAGCAACATTTTTAGAACTAAAATCAGATTTGAGGGTGCTGTTGCCACCTTAATATACTTAATTTTTAAGTTTGTTCGATGGTGACACAACCTAAGTTTCAAATTATAGACCTGTGTCAGTTTGGGCTGTGTTGTCCAAGATTGTGGAGATGTGTCAAAAGTGGAAGTCAATATGGCTTTTGTAAGGACAGAGACAGCAGCTATGGATTAAATTTATGATAAACAGATAGTGATCAAGTATGTGCCTTAGTGCCACTTTTTCTACCAGAAGCCTTTGACACGGTAGACTATAGCATACTGTTGGTGAAACGGTGAAACTGAAGCAAGCTGCAGTAAAGGGGCATGCATCGACCAAGTTTATCTGCTGCCTCTACCGACCGCCATCTAACACCGAGTACCAAAACTTTTTCGCGACATTATCCGAAAGCTGTGATAGTATACAGTCAAACTATCCACAGGCGGAAATTGTCTTTTTAGGAGATTTCAACGTCCACAATATACCCTGGCTGAAACACCACAACAAAACAGATAACGAAGGCAGAGAACCAGAAGCTTTTGCCATAAGTTGTGGTCTAACGCAGCTTGTCGATGAACCTACCCGTATCTCAGAAAAGGGCGAATTTGCAGCGCTTTTAGACTTGTTCCTAACCACAAATCCTGACTCGTACACAATTCAAGTAGATGCTCCACTTGGTTCGTCAGATCATAAACTTATAATAACAAAGTGCGAAATGCTCATCCCACCAAGCCAACAACCACTTCCTCGTAAAATGTGGCACTATAAATCGGCAAAATGGAATGACCTAAAACAGTTTTACCTGGATTTTCCATGGCAAGAGGTTTGCTTTAAAACAGCTGATCCCACTATTTGCTGTAATGAAATAACACAAGTAATCATATCTGGAATGGATGCATATATCCCACATACAACTAAACGTAGAGCTAATGCAAAACCTTGGTTCAACAGCCAGTGTCAAACGGCTGTACAGAAAAAACACAGAGCATATAACATTTGGAAACGACAACAAACCGCTCAAAACCACACAGAATTTATAGAAGCCAGAAATAGTTGCAAAATTACTATTGACTCCGCTAAAGAAACATACAATCAAAGAATAAAAAACAGGTTGCTGAATTGTCCAAGTAGTTCTAGGTGCTTTTGGTCTCTTGCAAAAGCTGTTGGATCTAACTTCACCAAGTCATCCATACCACCACTTACAGATAAAAATAATCACTTAGCCACAACATCAGAGGAAAAAGCCAATATGCTGGCCCAAATGTTTTCCTCCAACTCCAACCTAACAGTGCCAAACGGAAAAACTCCACCGTTCATTGAAAGGGTTTCCCATAGTATGCCAGAGGTACCCTTTTGTCACAGAGAAATACGAAAATCCCTTAAAAAGCTAGATACAAACAAAGCAATGGGTCCGGATGGCATTCCCGCAATAGTACTCAAAAATTGCGCCAACGAACTCACCCCAACTTTCGCAAAATTATTCAATTTGTCTTACAGGCAAGGAGTATATCCATCATCATGGAAGTCTGCCGCAGTACAACCCATTCCAAAGAAAGGAAAAAAGACAGATCCGTTAAACTATAGACCAATCGCTCTACTTCCGGTGATATCAAAAGTAATGGAAAGAGTTGTGAACAATCACCTAACCAAGTACTTGGAAAAGTACAAAATTATCAACGATAAGCAATACGGATTTCGAAAATATAGGTCAACTGGCGATTTACTTACATACGTCACTCACTTATGGCAAAAATCGATTGAGTTGCGGGGTGAAACAAGAACAATTGCCTTAGATATATCTAAAGCATTCGACAAAGTTTGGCATGAAAATCTGCTCAACAAGCTCAAAGCAATGGGATTATCGCCGAAACTTTGCACTTGGTTTGAAAGTTACCTAAAGGACAGATCCATTTATGTTGCACTGGATGGCCAGAACTCCAACTCTTACCAAATAAATGCTGGTGTGCCACAGGGAGCAATCCTTTCGCCAACTCTTTTCCTGATTTACATAAATGACCTCATAGATAAAACAGTAAATCCACTTTATTGCTTTGCAGACGATGGCAATGTAGTCTCCTCACTCATACCACCCACAGGTCTTTCCGCATGTGAATTCCATCATCTTAGACTAACTCAAATATCGCAGATAAATAACGACCTGGAGATAATAGAGGACTGGGGTAACAAAAACCTTGTACAGTTCAACGCGCAGAAAACCCAAGCAGCTCTGTTTTCAAAAAAGACCAGCACCGGTGAGCCAAACATCATGCTATCTGGAAGCGCTGTCACATTAAAGAGTCAGTTGAACATCTTGGGGGTTACTGCAGAGACCAACATGTCTTGGCACAGTCACGTGGCAGATATTGCTAAAAGGGCCTCCCAAAAGCTGGGGGTGCTATTTCGTACAAGACATCTGTACACACCAAGCCAATTGCTGACACTCTACAAAGCCCAGATTCGACCAACTATGGAGTACTGCTCACATATATGGAGTGCAGCACCCAAACATACCTTAATGCTTTTGAACACCGTGCAAAAACGAGCTATCAAGCTGATCAATGACCCCGCACTTACTCGTAACTTGGATGGTCTCGAACATCGCAGATCTGTGGGCGATTTATCTCTCTTCTACAGGTACTATCACGGAAAATGCTCTGAAGAGTTGGCACGTATGATTCCACCGAGAGTAGCACCTACCAGGCGAACCCGTCAAACAGACAGTAACCATGAATTTACTGTCAAACTAGAGGCACCAAGAACCTCATTATATCAGAATTCATATCTCTGGAGAACAGCATCGCTGTGGAATAAACTCCCTGCGACGGTTTTCCCTGCAGGTTACAACCTGAACCGTTTCAAGACCAACATACACCGACATTTCCGCGCACTTGCCGCTTCTCGAGCGTGATAGGACATTTCCTTGCGAGTGCGCATATCCGTAAAAAAAAAAAAAAAAAAAAAAAAAAAAAATGCCTTGGTTTTGATTTCAAAGTTATTTAACAAAAAGAAGGCTGATGGCTAGCATCAATAATGTTGAAGGCTCTCTCTCTCTGCAAGACATTAAAATGTGGGGTACTTCGGGGTCAATGTTGGAGCCTGTTTGTTATTTTTAATATATTTGAATTCCATTTCTAAACTGAACCTGGATGGGACAGTCAAGTTGTATGCCGATGATACAACGTGTGTATTGTGGTAAGCACTCCAATTCTATTAAGGCTGACATTGCTGGGGATCTGGGAGTTGTGAATCATTGGTTAATATCGCATAAATCAACGCTTAATTTTAAAAAGTCATCTAACATGATGTTGAGTAAAAGAAATTCAAACAATACCCAAAACATAATGTTTGGACGTCGGTCACTAAAGAATACCCGGACTTATTATAGACAGTACACTGTCTTGGGCAAATCACGCATAGAGCGGGTAAGGGAAAAAATTGCACGCATCATAAGAATGTCGTATAGGATTGGATACCTATACGCAAAAAACTTCACATATATCATTAGTGGAATAAAATCACTGCTCTAACTCGCTGTTTTCTGAGGGTGGGTGATGCCGAGGTATAACCAGATGAAACCTATATCATCTTGTAGAGGACACTTTGGGGCATAGGAAATGGGAATGTACAACTTTTTTTAATAGGACTGAACTTTGAAATCAGCCCTTAAACGTGACTCAGCTCGAATTTGAAAAACTATGTTTTTCTAAACATTACCCGCTATATTAATTTAAGCATACAATCTAAAATTCTGATTTTTTGCACACTTATACTTGAAACATGAGCGCTTCTAATGACAGTTCAGAAATTTCGAAAAGGCTCAAGGTTTTTTTGTTAAAAAGTTAGGAATATAGAATTATCAAAATCGTGCATCTTAAACTCCACCCTGCGGCGAGCACTGTGTATTATTGAGAATTTCTATACATATATATCGAATCAAATGTAGTAAAAATATTGACGAAGTTTTTAAAAAAAAAATTAAGGTGCTAACTTTAACGGTTATAGAAATATAAATTTTTATCCAAGAGCCCTGGAGTGCGCTCAGCCCATCGTGAACCGCGTCGCGACGGAATTATTCGTGCATTCACCGAGAGGTGCATTTTCTGACTTTTCCAGTTTTGTGCGTTCGTATTTGAAAAACAAGCTGAGTCTGATTTATTATCAAAGTTTGAACCATATTCAACAGTCGCTTCTCTTCGAACTGATGTTAACCAACGGTGTGATTAAAAAAAGCAACTTAAGCTACTTAAATCAAGAAAAAAAATCTAAGATCTCCCGTGGAAACCGCAGTCTTTCATTCAACATACTATCCGAGAAAATTCTTCATGAAAATAAATATTGCGGGAACTTACGACGTCACACCGGCTAACCGCCGAAATCATAGCCTTCTGTTTGTTCAGTGGTTGAACCGTGCCCTATACTTTAAGTGGTTACAATTTGCTTTAAGTGAGATCGTTGACTTTTGTCTTGGAAAATTTCACACATATTTTAACTGTGGCTCCGAAGCCAGTTTGACGTAACAGCCTAGGCGTTTGTCACTTTGAACCACCCTTATATACTCGAAAACGGTTCATCGTAGCAAGATGCGGTTCAAATATTTGTTCTTAGATTTTTTCGCACTAAAACTTCATTTTTGGGTCACACCCCCTTCAATTCACTTATGATAGATGGCATGGTACTTATTCAAGGACTAAATGATAAAGAGCATTTTCAGCTTAACTTTTAATGAACTCGCATGTATCTTTCTGAAGCAAATTCTTTCACTTGATCGAAGGTATGAAGCACTGAGGAAAACGGTGGTTTTTAATAGATGAATCGGTCAAGTCTTTGGAAAGACGCAGAAGAAGTAACTTCGCAGATAAGTGTGCGTATGAAGTTTCTGGCAAGAGAAAAGTGATGAAGTTTCGGAATTTTTTAAAATTGTCAGAAAATGGAGAATCCTTATTGAAATTTGTAACTGGTTATATTTTGGAAGATTTAGCTGACAAATAGAAGAAACTCTGATCATCGCTGGTGGTTTTGAAAACCCAGAGTTATGCTTTTCTGTCAACAAGGATGGTGTAACCATGTGACCGAATTGAAAGATTTGAAATCGAATCATGATGAGACTGATGCACGACTTATAATCCACGTCTTATATGAATATCAGATACTTCACCAAAAAAAAATGTTGGTGAAGTCTGCAGATGCAAATGTTCTGGTATTACTTATTTACCACTATTCTGAATTTATTGAAGTAAGTTCTTTGAAAGAAACCTACCTTTTTATGGAATTAAGGCAAGGGAATAAAAAACGGATCATTCCAATAAATAGTGCAGAAACTGGAAAATCAAGTTTATAAATGTTTACCAGCGTTGCATGTGTCAACAGGATGCGATACCACAAATGCAAAGGCAAAAAATGTATTTTCCAAAAATCTTGGAACCTTATATTGCCACCAAATTTGCATTGGCCCTATTCAGAAATAAGAACGAGGCCCTAAAAACCCTCGATGAATTGAGATATCAATTGACCACAACTTCCAATAAATCCGCTTCTGAACTTCTACCCACAGATGATGCATTTCACCAGCATGTACTGAGCTAGGTGTATATATAACAAAAGAAGCTGTATTTATGCGATAAACAAAATTTCAGGTGCATATATCAACTGCGTAAGTATATGGATATTCAGTCATATACCTTCGGCAACGGCACGTATGATACGGCCTAATATTATGCCTATACTTGACCCTGTTAACTTTGGTTGGACTAGGAATAATGGAATTTTTGAGCCTGTTTTGATGACTGCTGATCCCATACCAATGGATATAAGGCAACTAATGAATGTCTTCTGTAAGATAGATTATGTTAAAATAATAAATGTGTCTGCTTGAAAGAGGGTTTAACATGCTGCAGCGATTGTTCCTGCAAAAGTTGGCAAAATAATGTTCCTGATTTATATGAGGATGACGAAGGAGAAAATATTTAAACTAACTTCATAAAAAAGGATTCAATCGATTACTTTATGTTTATAGATTTTTTTATTTTATTTCTAGATGTAACGCTAACGCACTAACGCAGATGATTTCCAGAATGGTAGCCGCTAGCCGCTTTCAACATCAGAGCGCATTTCAAAGCTCCCGGATAAAAATTCATATTTCTATAACCGTTAAAGTTAGCGACTTAATTTTTTTTTCAAAAACTTCCTCAATGTTTTTACTACATTTGATTCGATATATATGTATAGAAATTTTCAATAATTCACATTGCTAGCCGCAGGGTGAAGTTTTAGATGCACGATTTTGATAATTCTATATTTTTAACAAAAAAACCTTGAACCTTTTCGAAATTTCTGAACTGTCATTAGAAGCGCTCATGTTTCAAGTATAGGTGTGCAAAAAATCAGAATTTTAGATTGTATGCTTAAATTAATACAGCGGGTAATGTTTAGAAAAACGTAGTTTTTCAAATTCGAGCTCAGTCACGTTTAAGGGCCGATTTGAAAGTTCAGTCCTACTAAAAAAAGTTGTACATTCTCATTTCCTATGCTTCAGAGTGTCCTCTACAAGATGATATAGGTTTCATCTGGTTATACCTCGGAATCACTCAGTCATAATTTCTTAATTTCATTGTGATTTTACTCCACTACATCGTCATTTACATTATTAGATTTCTGTCTGGGGAACTGCTAGAATTTCTCTTTTAAAACCATTGCAGGCACATACTGGCACACAGCAAAAAAAAAAAAAACATTTTTTTCTGAATGAAGAAAATTATCAATTTCTGATTCAAAGTATTGAATAAAAATGAAAACTGTCAAAGATATGATAAAAAAGTAAAAATGAAGCGATCTTGCCATTTGTCGAATCTATAAGATATTTTGTTCTGAAAAGGAAAATTAATTTTATTTCGTACTAGCAATAGTATTACATTTAGATACACGACTCGTTTTAAAATAAATAAACAAAGAAATAGGACTTTTTATTCATAAATCTGAAAACGCTGCGCGTTTGCCGTCTGATGTAGTCGCAAGATCTAGTAGTGGAACAAATTCTGCCATGAGAGTATCATGCATGCACTTGTATATAAAACTTTTTTTTATTTCTTCACTCTTCAGACGACGTTTCCATGGAAACCCCATCTTTTCCAATTGTCCAACCTAAAAATTACAGACACACTCGAGAAAAAGGAATACCAATGCTTCAAAAGCAGTGTAAAGCTCTGGGACTTTCACTATAGGGCAGGCTTTACTATGCTTGCTTGGTAGAAGAAAGGGAAAGCCTTAGCCAGACAGGACTTGAAAGTCACGGCACTTGCAATGAGGCATAAAGAAGATTAAAGTGACTCGCTACCAGAGTAGAGGGGTGAAAGTTTGTATCGAAGTATCGTTTTTTTTCATGGGCGCATGCAAAGCCGGTGAGCAACAGCTAGATAAGTATAAAATATAAAAATCTTTCCATGTGGATAAATGGACATTTTGCCGCCTCTCACTATGTCGACTTCGGGCACTGGAGCTCAATTCTTCAGGTTTGATGGTCGACTTTTTTTTCTCCGATGTCTTAGGAAATTGCCTAATCAGAAAACCATCATTGTTGGGATGGGAGTTGTCACTGCAAGTATTCTAGTGTGATGTCAGTCTAGATTGACTTTCCTTGTCATTAGTGAATTCAAACCATCCGAGTGTCCTTTTATTGACTCAGACGCTGGCTGGAATTGTGAATGTTGGATATGCAGGTCTGGAAAGACTGCGGTATGTGGGTTCTTCGTGTCTGTAATTTCGGTAAAGTGCGACAGCTTTGGAGTAACTGGCCAGACTGCTGTGTTCCACATAAGCAGGACTACTCAGGAAAAGACACACCGTACTGTATTCTAGAGAACCCTGATAAATAAGTTACTGTTAAAATATGGTAGCGGTACCTCACCCAGATTCTAAGGAAGTAGGATAAAAACCTTATTTTGTTTTCTGAGATTTTCAATCGGTCACCCCCAACTTATTTCAAAAATAATTTGAGGCAGTATTCTTGAAGACCCAAGTGGTACTCCATCCAAAATTTCAAGAAAATAATTAAAAACGGTTTGAGAATCGTTATTATGGATAATTATGTTTTGAATTTCTATCGTACACCGTTTAATTTCATTAGTCATATCATAATTTATAATAATGGTTATATAAGCATGCTCTGCAGTCCCTAATAAACCATAGTCACAGTAGATTAATTGAAAAATGTATAAATTGTTTTGGTGCGGATGGAATGTGTCCCTGATTGGTGGTTTGAAATTGAGGTCAACTTCTTGCCACATACTTATACAACGTAGAACGTCTATACAAAAAACAACGAGTTTTGGCATTTTTGCAGTCAACCAACTGGACCATGTTGTTAATCTTGACTTTCGATGTGAATTTGTATTTGAAATTGAATCCAAATTAGTGATTTTCAACACTCTCCAAAATAAGCAGGTATATGCGGTCGCCTATTTTCACAGCCTGTTTTCTTTTATTATAGATAAGGTTCGAAAAAACTTACAATGATACCGATTCACTGCATGAAAAACCTTGGAATTGAATAAGAAAAAATGTATATAATGCTCCATAATTTATGTGCCTGAACTGTTGGGTTGATGGGTTAAAAAATTATTATTTTTTTTTCATTAGGTTAATATACAATATTTTCAGTTAGGTATAGGCCGAAATTGTCATAGTATGTGATATGTCCATTTATAAAGACTAAAAGACTACTTCTTTTACCAAGCTATTGATAAAAACATTGGAAAAAACAATTCTCCCTCATAAGAAACAACTTTTTAGTTTATTTATAAATGTAAGAAAACATTACAAATTTATACAAATAAAAAAAAATTCATTAAATTAAAGTACTTATATAAAAAAAAATACCTGCATTCTGCATTCAATAATAGTATAGAGTCCGAGACAGAAAATTATCCATTACACTCGAGAGGTCATATGTCTCGAGACGTTAATTGAATTTTCTGTCGAGGATAGTCCTACACTATCTTATTTTTAACCATAATTATTTGAAAAAAAAACCAAAAAATTCGTTTTTAATTATAATAAGTAATATGTCATATTTATCAATAAAAAATTGAGAAAACCTACCACATCATAAATATAATATTGAATTAAAATAAATAACTTTTGAATCTGTGTTTTCATTTGAAATTTGTTGATTGATTAATAATATTATGTACTTTTTTGCCTTTGTAAAAAAATAAGACCAGAAAAATGGATGGAAAATATGAGGACGGGAAATGGGGATAGGCAATGGAGCAGGGAAACAAAAGACAGTAAGGTGTCATTTTCAAGATTTCAAACAGATATTAATGTCAACATTACACATATGGTTAAAAATAAAATGGACTTATTGCAAAATAATAGGAAAAAGAAATATGAAGCGTCAATTTTGCAATAAGGAACAAATGAATTTTCAACACAGAGACTCGACACAGCGAACAAAAATTCTAGTCCATGAGGCAGCTTTGCATTTTAACAAGTTTTTATATGGGTCAATAAGTAGGTATACTATTTCTAACGCCCCAACTGAATAGTTACTAAACTCAGGTGTATTCTTAATTCGGGATAGGTGTATTGATATTGTGAAAGTTGATGATAACAATAAAGGCACCATTCTACTGAGATAATAAAAATAGTATACTTCTATAGATCAACAGATCCAAATTGACCGAGTTAATGAAGCTTTAGCTATGAGTGGTGAGTGTGGTTGCAGGCTGCTGTAAGACTAGTAAAAAATGCATCAAACTAACTAAAGTTGCACTACATCGACATTATTATATAATATATATATCACATAAGAAAGTTATCAGCAACTGTAAGCCTATCAGAAAAATGTACCTATATAAAGTTAACACATAGCGGGTAAAAAAAGGTGAAGCCAGGGAAATACCATCTGACCAAGTAAAGATACAGTGGAACTCCAATTACCCAGATTAATTAGGAGTGGAGGCAGGGCCGGATTGGGAATTTTTTTCGACCCGAGTTGGAGTTCTTATATCCAGTAGAAGATTTATAATCTGTCCTTTCCTAATAGCGCCACAGGCGGAAATTTCGATATTACATATTTTTAGTGACCACATATAATGTTTTTATATTTTGTACCTTGTACATCGCAATTTTTATTTTAAAGTTTGTCTAAAGTGTGCTTTTAGGACTCGGATTCGATCTGCAGAATTGGCGATTCCTAATAGTCAGAGCATGGATAATTGGAGTTCAGAGCAAGAGTAACACACTACACGAGGATCATCAGCTGTTTGCGCTAGTAGTCAGAGTTTAAAATATAAATTTGATTTGATTATTTTGATTAACATAACAAAGATGAATATGCAAACCAGATCTCAAAGAAGTTTGTTTTAGATTGTTAATTTAGGGACTAAACAGTATGCATAAAGTAAAAGCTAGCGGAATCATAGCCTCAGGTGCAAACACCATGAGTCAAGGCAAAAAACGACATGTTGACTACGTCATCACTGGTACTTTGTCATGGTGAGGGGGCTTGATATGTGCACTAAACAGGTTTTATGGAGATATGCTTTCCTTTGTGTAGTGTGTTAGCCTTGCATTCAGGGGATCTGACATCGTACTGTATTATGCATAGAACCAGCTAACCTCAGTTGCAAAGATGCCTCCTAGACTAAAGTGTTGACCACATTCCTGGCTTCACATTTGAAGCTTCGTTTACACTTAGCAAGTCCACTGCCGAAAAAAATTTGGCACCAGTAAACTTGATTATTGTGTCAATTCTGTGCATATCTGTAAGCAAATCTATAAATTTTTATAAGCCTATAGACAATTTGCAATTATGCACTTCCTGTAGATTACAGAATATCTTATAGGATTGTAAATATTTCGGATGGGCTGTTTGACAATCGAAGCCTTTTGCAGTGTCTGTAGGCCTATAGAAATTTATAGATTTGCTTACAGATGTGCGCAGAATTGACCTATTAGTCATTATTGTATGTATTTCCCAATTTACTTACTGCTCATTAGTAGGAAAAAAAATAGTTTCAAGTACTGTAGCTGCTTTAGTTTTGTATTTCAAAATATGTGAAATTGAATAATAATGGCACTCCAAAAATTAAAAAAAAAAATGCTTTTCCTTTTTCCATAAATCCATAAACATTTAGAAATGATTTGTTCGGTTTGTTAACTTAGCCAAAATGATTACAAAAGCAAAAAAATGGTCTAACCAAACTAACCTAAACTGGATAGGTACAATGAGATCTACATAAGGCAAGTAGTACTTTGCTGATAAGTGTGAACGAAGCAAAATTACATTTTCATGTGCATGTATTTATTTTATATATGTATCCATTCATGAATTTCTGCACAAGATCAACTGTTTTACATTCGATTCCATAAATGCGCGAAATTTCAATGGTACCAACCTCTCCCAAAAAAAAAAACACAAATAAATAATGTGCATAAACATGTAAAATTGTTTTTATTTATAGGAGGTCTGTTCCAAACCGCCAAAAAACCATCCCAAGAACGATTTCTGAACCACTCTGTATACGAATTTCGGATTCTACGCACAAATTTTATGTTGCAGAATCTTGACGGTAAAATGTACGGTTTCCTGCTGGGTTGGAACAAACACTTTATACACCTAGTGTTTGCCAAGATTCAACACATTTACAAAATAATTTGATTGGCAGGCAGAAACCGCCATAATTGAAAAAAGTTAGGTTAGAATCGTCGGTTGGTATCAATGAAATACTCAGAAAATAGAACAAGTTCTATTGCATTTATTTATACATGTAGGTACCTATTACATTTAGGTCAAATGAACAGCTAATATTTCCGCTTCACATTCATGTAATTTTTCATGCACAAATACATGAAGATCTACACAAATGTAATGCGGGCTTAAGAAAGAAGTGAACATATACATTTGCATCATCCCCTCTAGCAAGAAAGGATGTTGTCAACACAACTTAATGTAGTTTTTGATATTTCCTCTATCTGTGTTAAAAATTCATTGGAAGAGACCAAGTTCTCTGCTTTCACTCATCTTTTAGTTCTGGTGGCATATCATTCTTAGGGTGCTTATTCTCAAAATGTTGTTTATAGGTCTTGGGATCAGGCATTTGTGCCTGAAAAAAAAAAGTGTTACTGTAATACACTCTAAACTCGCAATACTTAATATTGAGTTCTCAAACTCGTAAAGAAAAACAAATTAGCAGGTAAATAATTCTGCCTCCCTGGAAAAGGCAGCATCATGAAAAAAGTCTGTATTGTCGCAATTTTAAGTATATAATTGGAAGTTTCTAAATAAATAAGCTATATACATTTTTCAAAATTTTTTAAAGACTGTTTAGAACCACATCGACATACTCAGCTTTCATAGCTTTCTACCACGTTTTGGAATTTCTAACCCCGAAATAGCAAAAAGGTATTGCAAATAAAAAATGAAACTCAGCAATTCAAAAATTTTCATTGCAATGCAATATTGGTAAGTCACTGAAAGTGAATATTTTTTGAAGTATGGCACAATGTTTTGGGGTACTAACTGCGGTAACGAAACGGTTTTGTAATACAGAAGATAGTCTTGGAACAATTAAAAAAATGAGATTTATCAAAAGTTGTATAGGGGTGCATCATTTAGCATTCTAACTATACATCTATATGAATGTCTTATATTTTTCTTTATAGGAAAATAAGATTCCCTGGAACATAAGTTGAACTGAGAAGTTGAATGTCGTCATTTGCAGATGATACTTGTTGCTATTGCAATCCTGTTATCACATGTACAGGGTGGTATCCTCGAAAAGGATATCAGTGTGTATCAGCCAAATGGAATAAATTTAATTTAATAAATGGTAGCCTCTGTATATTATGATATAGCAAACTCTTAATTTTGATCTGAAAATATTTTTTTCTACGAGCGTGCGGAAAAGTGAACTTTTCCAAACGCATTTTAGTTTGGAAAGTTTCACTTTTCCGCACTAGTGCGGAAAAGTGACAGATGTCACTTTTTAAATTATAAACTGACACACTTACACAAATATCATCATTGAGAATTATCGAAACAATAATGTTATTTATTAAATTTTTTCGGTTTAAACTTAACTTTTCTTGTCAAGTTACTATAGAATGGATAATGCTTAAAAATTTCGAAAATTTCATAGTAGATACATCAAACGTACAAATTATTGTTAAAAGTTCTCGATTTTATTGTCTTCAGAATAAGGCACATTATTTCAGATTTATTTATTTTTTTATTATTAAAAAATAAGTTTTATTTGTACTTAAGAGTAGGTACCTATCCTATATTGAGAAAAAATTACTCGATTTGTATTTAAAACCAGGTGTTGCAAATAAAATGTTGTCAAATATTGGTGTTAAAATTTACATTACCTAGGTACGTTCTTTCTATCTCGTAGAGAAAATAGTGTTCCTAACTCGTGCGGAAAGTATCTTTTCCGCGATTGCAGTTTGCCGAACGACGCGTAGCGGAGTTCGACAAGCAATCCGCAATCCGCACTAGTTAGGAAATATACTATATTGTTTGTTTTTCCATACTAATAACAAAGCCGTGTTCCAACCGACATGAGAACCGTTCTAGAACGGTAATTTCCAGTCTATCAACTCATTTGTCAAATATGATAAACGTTCAACATATTGAGGTGGGCAACTAGAAATTACTGGTTCTGGAACGGTTCTCATGTCTGTTAGAACAGAGCCATAATTAAACATTTGAGTTTTAACATAATTTTTTCAATTCTATTAGCTTATATGCGTTCTTTTTACAATAAAGAAAGCTTAAAAAATTTAATTTTATTTAATTTTAACAGTAAAATGAAAAATGTGGGAAGAAATATACTTGGAAATATATTGCCTACTTCTGCTCCTACTGGTCAGGGTTTATTTTATAGCTCACATCGAGGCTCACATTATAATGGCAAAAGTTCAATTTGACAGCTGCCTCAACTGTATTTTTCTAAATTTTTTGTATTTGAAATTGGGGTTTTCTAACAATAATGTTCTCAACATCATATAGTGAAATATTAGATAATTCTTAAAAAGACAAACATACAAACCAAAAACATGAGATAAAACATGAAACGTACTTTTCTACAAGTCACTGGAATATGTGAGCTTAGCAAAAAGCTGTTGTATCTGCCAAAGGAGTATTTCTTTATATTTCTCTAGAAGAACATATTCTGCATTTTTTTTTGTTCCTGTCTCTACTCTAAAGATTTTATGCGCCACAAACAAGGAAACTGTCTACACATTTCAATCAAATCTATGATATTCTTTTGTTTAGTAGGTTTAGCATAGATTTAGGGCCGAATTTATAGTCATTCCTTAGCCGCTTTCGGGTGCAGAATTCGAAGCTCCTAGAACACTTTTACACCCGTTATACTCCATGCGTTTTGCACTAGAACGCTTGAAATGGTATTGCGCGGAGCGTGACGCAACCATAAAATGGTAGGTGGTTCAGGGGTGAGAGGCGAGGAAATGAGAGCAGCTCGAGAGCGAAAATTTCTGATCACCTGAACGGGTCAAACTGTAGCCGGAGTACTTCGGAGTAGCTCAGGAGCACTCAGAGGGTGGCACCTGACAAGTGAGAAGGAGGTATTTATGCCTCATTCTCTTTTTTGACATTGCCTACAATTTGACGTTTGATACACGCATAAAACGCCAAATTGTTAAAGCAATGTCAAAAAGGAGTGAATTTCGCGCAAAAAGGCGAATTTCGTGCAAAAAGGCGAATTTCGCGCAAGTGAGAATGAGGCATTAGGCTTCCTCAAGGTCTGAGAAAACCTCAAGAAACGAATATAAATTTGGCCCTTGAACACACACACACACACACACACAACAGGTGTCAACTCTTTGCTTTCCGCTTATGTAAAAACGCAACGATTTTGAAGGAATTCCATACACTTCCGTTTGGTCCGTCAAAAGACGATTCGACATGGCGGTTTTTTACCACACACTTCAGGTTTTGCTATTTTTAGAACAACGTTCCCAATCGTGGCGATTCGAACACATGAAAAATTACGAAATGTATGGGTGCCATTAGATTTATATTAACTTAATTGTCAAATTAAATTTAATTCTCCATACAGTGAGCACATAAAGGTTGGAGTAAAATCTATACAATATACAGGGTTGATATTTTCCAAAAAACTGGAGGCACGGGTCAGGTAACCGCTCAAGTACAAGATTAAATTGGTTTGAAATTATTCGGTTTAAATTGTTGTAAATAATGTTTAAAATTATTTTTCAATTTTCTTAATAGATCTTTCAAATATTTGATGCAAGAAATTAAGTACTCAATCCAGAACGACCAGAACAATACAAATAAATACTGTACACAAAATGAATTTAATTGATGAACTAAATAATGTAATCATGCTGGGTATCCCATTCTGTGCCGAAGAAGACTTGAAAAAAATGGTTGAAAAAGTTGGTAAAGAACTTCAGGTTGACTTATCCAATGAACGTATTACAGCTACGAGAATTGGTAAGAGAGAAGAAAATAAAACTTGTCCAATTAAAATAAAGTTTGAGAATGAAGAAACCAAAAATAAGCTTTTGAAATCACCCAGAAAGATCCGCCTAACTACCCAGTCATTGGGATTTAATGTGAATAATAAGATATTTATCAACCAAGACCTGACAAAAAAAAACTTGGAGCTCTATAAAGAATGTAATGCATTTAAAAAACAAAATGAATTCAAATATTTGTGGATAAAAGATGGAAACATATTTTTAAGAAAAGGAGATAATACCAAAATCTTATTGATACAGAGGGAGGATCAGTTGGTAAGTGATTAGGAAGTCGGGCCTCGAGTTCTATTAAATGTAGCATACACAAACATTCAAAGTATACGCAACAAATTAGACAATTTACAAAGTTTTGCAATTGCAAATAAGTCGGATATATTATTGTTTTCTGAAACATGGTTGGAGGAAAGTAATGCTTTTCTGTATGGGTTAGATAACTATAGTGCAGTGCATTCATGCAGAGTTGGTGCCAGAGGTGGAGGGTCCTCAATCTACATTAAAAAATCGATAAAAAGTCGTCTCATCGATCAGTCGAATCCAAGCCAGGCAATCAACTGGGTGTGTGTAAGTGTGGGTGAGAATAATTTAAAAATAAGCGTTTTATATAGACCACCAAATTATAACATTGCAGATTTTTTTGTAGATATAGAAAAAATTTTGTCAAAACATCCTAAAAAACATGTTATAGTTGGTGATTTTAACATCAACTTATTAGAAGACTCTAAATTGGTTCATAACTTTAAAAATCTTCTCCAATTAAATAATTTTAAAATTATTAATGAAATTTCAGTTGAAAACGCTACCAGAGTTACACAACACAGCAAAACTCTTATCGATCATGTTATGTCAGACTACGGCTCAAAATTTATTTCCTCTTTGAATGTGCAACCTAACTGCTTGTCTGATCATAATTTATTGATGTTCAAGATTCAAGAAAATGTAAAGATATTTAAACCTAAAGTTCGACATAATATTAAAATGATAAATTATGAAACATTTAAATCACTGTTTAGAGATGAGATCAACAATAACAATGTCGTAGTTTCATCATTTCAGGATTTGATAAAATTAATTATAGATACTAAGACTGCATCGGAATATGTCAAAACTATTAAAATTAGAGAGAATAATACCTGGATCAATCAAGAACTTCTTGAAATGATGAAACAACGTGACATAGCATATAGAAAAAAAGTTAAAAATCCGGAAGTTGTTATGTATGATACTGAATTTAGAAAGCTTAAAAACAAAGTTAACAATAAAATCAAGTCATTGAAAAACTTATATTTTCGTAAAAAATGGGATCAGGCAGGTGATAACATAAAAAAGCAGTGGGAATTTGTAAATAGTTTCTTTAAAAATAAACACAATTCAAATGATATAGAATCATTGATGATTGAGGGAATGGAGGTAAAAAATGGCAAAAATATTGTAAATAGTTTAAATAAGCATTTTGCAAATATAGGTGAAAAAATTGTAAGAGATTTGAATGAGGACATTTTGAAGAAGGGTTTGAACAGACAGTTTGAAGAGATAAAATGTAATAAAATTATAAATATAAAAGGTACAAATGAAATTGAAATTAATGAAATCATGTCGGAACTTAAAAAAAACTCTGCACCCGGGGATGATGAGGTAACGGTACTTGATGTTCTAAATTTACGGGAATTTATTTTGAAAATTTTAACAAAACTGGTAAATGATATACTTACCACAGGAATATTTCCACAAGAACTGAAAATAAGCAAGATTACACCAATTTATAAATCTGGTGACTCAAAGTGTATGAGTAATTATAGGCCGATTTCAGTGATAAGTATGTTTTCAAAGATTATCGAAAAAGTTATAAAAAACAGGATGATAAATTTTATTGATGACAATATAACTTTTGACAAGTTCCAGTATGGTTTTATTAGAAATAGTAGCACTTTAGGCGCTACTTTTGATTTTGTCAATTACACCTGCAAAGCTTTAGATGAAAAAAAAATTGTTATAGCTGTTTTTATTGATTTGAGTAAGGCTTTCGATGTGGTCAGCATAGACATACTTCTGAGAAAACTTTTTGTGATGGGCTTTAGAGAACCTATATTTACCCTTATTAAATCGTATTTAGGCAATAGAAAACAATATGTGAAATTAGGTAATGTAAAGAGCGAGTTACTAACTAATATGTATGGGGTACCGCAAGGTTCTGTCCTCGGTCCTATTTTATATTCTTTGTATGTTTTGAGCCTTAGATGTGCAAACCTAAAAGCTCAGTATTTCACCTTTGCTGATGATACAGCTTTGGTATACACGGGTGAAAATGAGACAGAACTTATGCAAGAAGTCAATGAAGATCTTAAACTATACAGTAACTGGCTCTACTTCAACAAATTGAAAATCAATGCAGATAAAACCAAATATATGCTCTTCAAGCAAAAAAATAAACGGATTGAAAGTACAAATATTGAAATTAATGATACAATTTTGGAGATGGTTACTAAGATTAGATATCTTGGACTAATTATTGATGAGTCGTTAAATTGGCAAAGCCACATAAACAAAATTAAAAATAAAATTGTTCCAATGATGCCCATTATCTTTAAATGTCGAGATTATCTATCTATCAAAACAAAAAGGAATATCTATAATGCCTTCTTTTTGTCCCATTTGCGTTACCTACTGCCAGTATGGGGTACCTGTTCTAGAACTAGGTTTGATGAAATTCAAATTTTACAAAATAAGGTCTTAAAGATTTTATTCAATTATGATATACTTACAAGCACAGATACCCTATACAGTGAGTTAGGTCTCTGCAGGTTAGAGAAAATATTAAATCTTGAACAGGGTAAACTAATGCATAAAATTATCTTACAACAACAAAAAATAAATACAAATATAACCTTTACCAACGAAATACATAGTCATAATACGAGAAATAATAATAATGTATATCTGAACTATAGTCGAATAAATGTAGGTCTTTATAGCCCAATTCACGAAGTATCTAAACTGTATAATTCGTTACCGGAAAGTCTAAGACTGATAAATAACTACAATGTGTTCGTTAGGAGACTGAAAACATTCCTAGGAATAAAATAAAAAATAATTAAATCTTGTTGCTAGTTGCTAGAAAAATAAATAATTATGTTATTTTAGTTTTAAGTATGGTTAATTGTTAAATGTTTATTAATTATACTCTCGAGGCCAGCGCCTTCAGCACTGATTGGAGAGTCTGTTAAATATTGTTAACATATTATAAAGAAATAATAAAGGATTATTTTCAAAAAAAAAAAATTGATTCTCAACCCTTATCTGTGGAGTTTTTGCTGTGATTTTAGCTTGAGCCCGGGGCATCGCCGACAAAGAATAAGAAATCATTTTTTGTAGGAATCTCGAATATCTGTGGCGTTTTCTTATTCCTCAAGTAGGTAGGTACATGTCATTGTCATTACTTTTTAAATGTTTGCAAGAGGTACCTAATAAAAAAATTCCAGCTAACTTACCTTACAAATAGCACAAGCATGTACTAAAGCTTTTTGAGCAGCCTTTTTCTGATCAGTAGCACTATGTCCTTGTTGCTTTTTGAGTTTAGCAGCCTTTTCTGCAGCTTTTTGTTGTGATTGAACCTTTTGTTGTCCTCTGGCCATTGTGCCTTATATTTCTGACGAATCCTTTGACCTATTTAAACAAAAAATTGACCTGCAAAAAAATAAGATATTTAGCAACGTTATCCACATTGGATCTAGACGACGTTAATTTTTTATCAGTTAATACAATACAGTTATTCTTGAAACAGCCAGGGGCCAATAGGGAATAATTACGTATTGTTTGATTTCCACCTAACCTATAACTGTAAACATGTGGGTAATTTTGCTCCTAAAATGTACCCAAAATGCTTAATGTTTGAATAAATTTTAATTAAATACATGTTGAAGAAGTAATTGATTGAATTCAGACTTACAAATGAAAATAAATTCCTTTATTTTATATTTTATCTTCCTTTATATGAAAATTAGACAGCTGCGACGCAGCGACCGCAGCGTCCATTCGGTGAAGCCGTTCACTCGAGGAATGCGGAATGGTTGTTTAGAATCTGCGAACGAAAACAGCCGATCACAATAAATAGAATTCTATGTAAGTGACGTCAGATTCAGAATTCTATTTTAGATAATAGCGTTGATTGATAATGGGCAACTTTCACATTTTTCAAAAACATTTTTAAATTATTCTTTTAGTCATTCTAATACTATCTGTATACTTTTTTTCCGAAAAAAAAACGCTTATTTTTGAAAAAAAATATATTTAAAAATCGAATTTTTAAACTGGCGTGAAAAAATGAACTTGGTGTGTGACGTCACACACCAGAAAATCAAGGATGCCAAATTTCTCATTAGTAAGTCATTACATATTTCACTAGCTAGAAAAAAATTTCGTCCTTTACTACATTATAAAAAAATAAAGGATAGGTATAATACTTATTAACTCATTTAAATTTTCATTTCTGTGGCAACAAAAATGTCAAAATCGGCTTTAGCCAATCACAGAGCGTTTTCAATCACGTGATTTTTCGTTCAAATTTTTAGTTTTTATTTATTAATTTATTCAATAATCTGACTAAAATCTTGCAAAATATTGTTCATTCTTGGTTGCATTGATGTATCAAAAAATATTATAATTTGCCATATTTCCGGCACGTGAAAGTGGCCCATTATACTGGAATCAAGGTTGTTTGAAGAGCGGTAGGTTGCGATCAAGGATGATACACACTACTACTACAGGATAGCCTATCCTCATAAGGCCTGTGTCACAGCCCTGTGTGGAACAAATCTCCCTCTCCTGAGCTGGGTTCGGCTATTCAGCGCGCAGTTGGAGTGGAGTGAATAGGGCTAATGGAGTCACCCCTAATACGGGTAAAAAGCAATACCCGAACCTTAACCCGAACGGCTGGAGTGCGAATGAAGTCACTCAGAGTGCACGGAGGGAGCAAACCAAACCCACCTCTGGTTGCGATAACTTTACGACGTCATCTAGGGTGCCTCAACAGTCAACACAATGCAAATCTCCATAGGCCGTGTTTATGTTGGAGCTGTAATGAAAGCTATGAGAGCGTCAATAATAGCGGTGATAGGAGCTATTCAAAAGTATTCTTCTTCGATGCGTTTATGTTGGAGCTGCGATACTAGTCAAGTTAAAGCAGTTTGCCTTTAAAAAATGAGTGATTCTGATGAAGAACGTGTCTTAATGACTATCATTACATGATCGTTGCATTATATACTATTATGAAGACACTCGATCCCTATTCTGCCTCGTTCACCCAGGCAAAATAATAATATTATAAACCCTAATAAACACTCGTCCACTCCTAGTCGATAAAAGCAAAGAAATATACAAAATTCTTCTCGCTTCTCGCCGCTCCTATCGCTGGTCCACAAAAAAGCGCTGCTCTACTCGCCCCTCCAACATAAGTCGCTTTCCAGCTGTGTGCTTCAAGCACGGTACAGCACAGTGTTCTGTGTTTGAAACGCGAAAGTTAAGCCTCGTGTCCATTTGCAAGAAAATTTGCTTAGAGCACTCTCACAAGTCACTTGCATTGCGTGTAAACAGCAGCGTAGAGACATTTTGCTGCAAGTTTACTTGCCCGCCAAATACTTGCCGACTTGTTAGAGCTTGTAATGTACACGGCCGATCTAAGCAAATTAGTTTGCACGGTTTGATTTCGAGACCGTTCCGAAATATTTGCAGAAAGTTTTGGAAGGACGTGTTTTCAAGTGGAGGTTTTTATATACCTATTTACAAAAATGGAGAAACGCGTTTGGAATAGAGAAGAAACTACCATGTTGATAGAAAATTTTGAACTGTATCCTGAATTATGGGAAGTACATTGTAAAGATTTTAAGAATAGGGTGAAGAAAAATTAGCAGGACTATTTGAGACATCTGAAAATGAAATTCAACGCAACCCACATTTTCCTTCGCTTTTTGACATCTGCGTACAAACACAGGCATTGTATTTCGTTGCTTCGCTAGTATCGTTGCTTTTATCGCCGTGTTTATGTTGGAGCTGTGATAAAAGCTATGAGAGGGTCGATAATAGCGACGATGAGAGCTATTCAAAAGTATCCTACTAAAAGTATCAAAAAAGCGCTGCTCTACTCGCCGCTCCAACATAGACACCTGCGTACAAACACAGGCATTGTATTTCGTTACTTCGCTAGTATCGTTGCTTTTATCGTTTATCACAGCTCCAATCCAACATAATCACGGCCTTAGGCCGTGTTTATGTTGGAGCTGTGATAAAAGCTATGAGAGCGTCGATAATAGCGGTGATAAGAGCTATTCAAAAGTCTCCTTCTTCGATGCGTTTATTTTGGAGCGAAGTTTTGCCTTTAAAAAATGAGTGATTCTGATGAATTTTTTTTTACTTTTATCAAAAAAAGTCTATGCAACTCTCATGTAATGGCCATTAATACACTCTTAAAGGTTGTCGCTCACTGGAGCGCAGCGCACGGCAGCGCGGCGAAGAGGACTTTTTAGATACATTGTTTTAAAAGGGGGTACGCTCACTTGTCGGAAGCGCACCGATCGGCATACTCCCATTTAAAACAATGTATTTTAAAAAGTCCTCTACGCCGCGCTTCCGTACGCTGCGCTCCAGTGAGCGTCAGCCTTTAGGCCGTGTTTATATTGGAGCTGTGATAAACGATAAAAGCAACGATACTGGTGATACTATACATTAGTATCGTTGCTTTTATCGTGTATCACAGCTTCAACATAAACACGACTTTAGGCACCCCAGATGCGTCATCAAGTTACCCATACCAGACAACCTATAAACTTTCGGAACCTGGGACTAGAATGAAAGGTTTCTAGACTTTGGTTTTGTGCTCGCGTTTATGCAAACTTATCACGTTTCCGATTGGTGTATCTTATGCGCAAGGATATTACACACTACTACAAGATAGCTTTTGCTTATCGGCCTCGAATTTTGAATTAAAGTTCACATGATATAGCACCGGTGTCGACGTCATCAACGGTGTCGTCACTCGTCAGTTGCTTTCACAGGGGCGAGTTCAGGAATGACACACTCAGTGTGAGAGTGACACCGGTGCGACGCACTAGCCGTTCATAAATGCTATAGGCACACCGAGTGCGCGCACTCTGTGCCGTTCAGAAAGTACTTTGGGCGCGCTCCAGGTGTCGCACCGGTCACACCACAAAATAGGGTACTTGCATGGAAAATTAAATTGATGATACTTTTTTTTAATTTCACCCAAATATGATTATTCCGGAAGTTATACAAATAATAAGTTTTTTATATATAGATATACTGTGCATGTGCGACGTCACAACTCACAACGTATTATACCTAAGTTATGACGTCGGAAGGACATTTCAAAGCGTTGTATCTCCGTCAATTTTTGACTAACAAGAAAAAGAAAAAAACACGTGTTGACTCATTTTTCATGAACTATCGAAATCAGCAATAAAAAAATTTGATGCAAGGGGCCTATTTTTTGGTGTGGCTGCGGTGTGATTGTGTCTTTATGTCAAAAATGTCAACCATTCCTCCCTTTAGCCTAGTAGGTACTCATGGGTACTCATAACTGCGAAATTCGCAATTTTTTGACATTGCTTCGACAAATTGACGTTTTATGCGTAAATTAAACGTCAAATTGTCGAAGCAATGTCAAAAAATTGTGAATTTCGCAGTTATGAGTACTAGGCTATAATCTCAATAATCCCACCAAATATAAACAAAACACAAATAAGAATTAGTTTTTCCTTCTGATTCACAAAAAATACATAATTTATTGTACCAAAGGGCCAAAAACAGTAATTCAATGAATAATTTAACTATTTGTGTAAATAAGAACAGTAAATAATTGATTTAAATGAATATATTTCTAGAGTCTAAAGTGTTATAGGCCTATGTTTCAGTATGTCTTTTGAAAATCTAACTTTTTCTTTCTTCGGGATTTTTTCGGAAGGCAAGTCCATTCAAATACTTGAGCTGATTTTTGAAAATAAGAGGTACCTACTTTTAAGAGTTGGACGTTTTAGTTTGAACTCTCGAACTACGCCTTTATCCTTGTTTGTTTCAAATCTAATTATTTCGGTTTCTTCAAAATGTTTACAACACACCACAGAATTTTTCGTTATTGTATAATCTCGGGTATAATTATCTTGGTGTATTGCTTTCATCCACATTTTTTGCACTTCAGAATTTTTTTGGAAATAAAAATGTTTGCATTTCTTCAGTTTTTAAGGAACTCCTATTAGTGCGATTTGCACCCAGGAACACAGTAGTTTTATGGCATCTGGAACAAGTTTAAATATCTTAGGTAATATATCGAGACCTATGCTCTTGCAGACAAATATTAATATTGTTTTTATTGTTTTACCTTACCTTACCTTTATTTTTGCTCCTGTACCCATTTGCTAAAAATTTGCAATCAAAGCACAAAGGAACAGGTATCAACTAAATATGGGCAATATATTGGTGTGTTTCTATCCACTTTTTCGTCAATAATGCCCATAAAAATACTAAATTGCAACAATACACAATGAAAGCAATACACAGAAACACATAACCCAATAACAAAATAGCACCATACGCGACGTTGCCGTCATTTCCAATTTCATGGCTTGTTAACTATAGGAGGCTGTGGTCACACCCATAAAATCGCACTCACACCCGGTGTGTTATTTCTGAACTCGCCCCAGCGGTCGTCATTTAGAATAGTATCCCTAGACTCGGATCGCTTTTGATCAATCGAGTGCACTTTGGAGGCAAAAGTCGAAAGCGATATGAGAAAATTTGACAATTTTGATACAAGTATTGAAAAAGCCAATTGTCAACAACATCTGTGCTTTGTGCTTTAACTAGTTCAAATGAAAACGTAGATAAATAAATCCGATCAAAATTATAATAAAATTATTTGAAGAGAAAGCAGATGATGCAGGTGTTACAAGACGCAAATATTCCAATTCCAGCCTTTCTGACCAAGTTATGGAAGATTGTCAACGATCCAGAGACGGACCATCTAATTGGTTGGAGACAAGTAAATTATTTTTTGCTCGATTTTTTGGATTCATTTTGATTAAAATTGTTGTTTAAATGAGGCATAAAATTACAATTTTTGTTGCAAAGAAGGGTAGATGACTGGGTGGGTTTACCTTGAAAATTAACTAGTTAAAAATCGGTCAACAATTATTCTCTAATGTAATATGAATATGTATAAACCTATATACAAATACCGTCTCTATATTCGCTTTGTTTTTGTTGAAGTCAGAATAGTTCATAAAATGTCTGCAAATACCTATTCTCTATCTAAATATACAGGGTGTCCCAAAAAGATACTGACAAACTTTAAAGGGTAGTAACGGACATCAAAACAAGCATTTTTGTTTATATAAACATATGTCCGCAAATGAGCCATTTGGGCTGTAGAGCAAAAAAACCTCGAAAAAAACTGTTTGGTACTTTATTTCTTCGCAATAATTTTAATCATTTGTAATAATTGTTCAACATGTTGGCCATTTACTTCAATGCAAAGATTGCACCGTCGGGTCATTGACTCGCGAACCCTTTGGAATATTCCGGGAATAACTTCCACGTGGGTACAACTCGCCACTATCCTTGCTAACAGATCTTTGTCATTACGAACAGGTATTTCGTAGACTAAACTTTTCAGTCAATGACCCAACGGTGTAATCTTTGCATTGAAGTAAATGGTCAACATTTTGGACAATTATTGTAAACCATAATTTATTTGTTAATAAAGTAAAATTAATAAGTAAACAGTGATTTATTTATTGCGAAGAATAAAAGTACCAAACAGTTTTTTTGCTCTACAGCCCAAATTAATCATTTGCGGACATATGTTTATATAAACAAAAATGCTTGTTTTGATGTCCCTCACTACCCCTTAAAGTTTGTCGGTATCTTTTTGGGACACCCTGTATACCTGAGTCTATACCTAATATGAACGAACCCATAATATACACCTATGTATTATATATTATATAGAGAAGTGCTGTTGCAATTTGCAGTTGATTTCTGACCCAAACTAAGTTAACCGGCAAGAATTAAGTTTGCAGACATGAAAGGATTTTTTCCAGTTTTCATCCATGGCAGTTTATTGAGAATTAATTTGACTGCTGTTTTTTTTAATTCTAACCTCAAAATAAAAATAAAAAATAAATGGCAGTGACTGCTGCACTGTCCAGACAGTGTCGACTGAAAACTATCTGCACTGACCAGACAGTACCGACTAAAATCTATCAGCACTGTCTAGACAGTGCCGACTGAAATCTATCTGCACTGTCCAGACAGTGCGAACTAAGAACCAGCTGCACTGTCCAGATAATTTCATTATCATAATCATATAAAGTTATAGTTATATTCAGAATGGCTTGCAGTCCGAGTTGCAGTCCTTGCTGGGATTTAGTTTATTATTAATTGTTTTTGTAATAAGTCTACAAAATTATTGTTTTTTCAATAGTACTAAGAGTGTCAGTTTTCATTGGTCAGGTCGAGGCCAAAAATTCATTCGAAGGTGGCCATAAACACAAATGTCGCATACCAAATACAAACAACATTTTCCCTACAAGCGTGCGCAAAGTAGTAGGTACTTTTCACGGAGTGCGGAAGTGTAACTTTGAGCAAGGAAATGCGTGCGAAAAAGTACTACTTTCAACACGCTTGTAGGAACAATGTTGTTTGTATTTTTTTATTTATTTTTTTTTATTTATTTATTTATACTCTCACATATACACAATAAATTGTAATTACATATATAAGAGTGCTTACTGGTACTGAACTATACTAAAAATTAAAACTAGAAAACACAAGATAAAATAAAATAAACAATAAAAAATTTTGTATGCGACATTTGTGTTTATGGGTAACTTGGAATGAATTTTTGGCCCCGACCTGACCTGTGAAAATTAGGCTCTTAGGTACCATTGAAAAAACACTCGCGAACTTATAACAAAAATAATTCCCACAAAAAACTTATATAGTACGATCGGATCAAGCTAATAACATCACTTGGTTTAACAATGATCCGATCAAGCTAATAACATCACTTGGTTTAACAATGATCTAAGAAATATGCGTGAACACTTGAACTTCCTCAGTGAAGTGTACAATCAATATAAAAATGAAGCCAATAAAATCGAACTAAGAAACTACCGCCAGATATATAAAAATGCTATAAAAAATAAAAAAGTCAGGGCCAATGATACTATGATCCGCAATTCAAATAATCCTATAAAAACAACATGGGAGATTATCAATAAAACTAGGGTAAAAACAGCTAAATCATCATCAGAAGACCATTATGTATTCGGGCAGATGATTTCAACAATTATTTCTCTGAAATAGCTGAAAAACTGTATAATGATATAGAACTTGTTGATAGAGATCCTCTCTCATTTTTGAGAATGCCTGAGAATAATAATGTTTTTACTTTTGATGAAGTGAGCTTTACTGACGTTAGAGATATCATTTGTCAACTAAAAAATAAGAACAGTACCGATATCACAGGACTGAACACTAAATTAATAAAAACAATAAAAAATCTAATTATTGTCCCACTTACAAAGCTTGTCAATCTCTGCTTGGGTGCCAGTGTTTTTCCTGAAAAATTAAAAGAAGCTTTGGTTATACCTGTATTTAAGAAGGGAGATCCACAAAGTGTTAAGAACTATAGACCCATTTCTCTGCTGCCAATTTTCTCAAAAATATATGAAAAATGTATGGCCATAAAAATAACCAAATACTTCGAATCAAATAACCTCTTTACCCAGAGCCAGTTTGGGTTTCGTAAGGGGAAGAACACTGGACAAGGCATCCAAAGCTTAATATCATATGTGAGCGAGGTTTTTGAAGCGAGAGAATACAGCTCAGTACTGCTCTGCGACCTTAGTAAGGCATTTGACTGTGTGTGCCATAGCCTTCTGTTAAAAAAACTCAAATATTATAATTTTCATCCAAATAGTATTCAGTTAATAAGATCCTATCTCAGTGAGCGCACACAGATAGTGAAGACAGCTGGGGGGCTATCAGCGAGGAGAAGTATTACTGTCGGAGTGCCGCAGGGCTCCATTCTTGGTCCCTTACTTTTTTTGATATATGCCAACGATCTACCATTGAGTGACCAGGCATCCAGTTTTACTCTCTTTGCTGATGACACAACAGTTGCTGTGAGGGGTGGTTCGCTGAATGAGAGTCAGGGGGCGCTATTGCGGGCGCAGAGATTGACAGGTGAGTGGTTCGCAGCAAACGGACTCTTTCTTAACAGGGAAAAAACACAAACTATAGTATTTGCTTTGAGGGAGCTTGGTGAGGTGAATGAGGGCACAGATCGAGTGAAGTTCTTGGGAGTTTGGCTGGATCCAACTCTCAAGTGGGATTGCCACATTGAGAGTGTATGTGGCCGACTGAGAAGCAGTGTATTTGCTCTAAGAGGCTTGGCCAACAACGTGTCTGCCATTGTTTTGAAAACAGCCTATTTTGCCATTTTCCATTCATTAATGACCTACAGCTGCCTGGTGTGGGGCCATGCTTCCCAATGGTGGAGGGTGTTTGCCCTGCAACGGAGGGCGGTACGGGTTGTGGCAGGATTGAGATACAGGGAAGACTGCAGGGCTACCTTTGTCGAATTACGTGTGCTCACGTTTCCCTCGAATTACATTCTTGAAAACCTTATCTACATGAAATCTAATCAAAATAACTACCAAACATATAGTAGTGTACATGAACATGATACCCGAAATATTTTATTTTATTTTATTTTATTTAAAGGTACATCCCACAAACACACAGAGGTAATTACATGTCAGAGATCTTACAACTAGACTTATTACTAAAGTTTGAAAAACAAAAAAAAATAAAATTGACATCAATATACTTATAAAAACAGTTAAAAAACAAAAAAAAAAGGTAGTCCATATTTACTTTAAAACCATTTATCACCATTTATCTTTGGTATTTGAGCAATCTCCTGATCTCAGCAGTTCCCACATTGCATATATCTACATTTTCCATTTCATTTAAAATATTATTACAAACTCTCAACATATTATTCACTGGCGACGTGCTATTTGTCTTATCTACATAAAAATATTCTTTTTCAGTAATTCTAAGCCTAGTCTTTGGTACTCTCAATGAAATATAGTTAATTAGATCACAGTCTTTGTATTTAATATTGTTAATTATATAATATATAAAAACCATTGCTTGGTTATTCCTTTTATCGAACAATGTTTGAATCTCAAAGGTTTCCAGCATTGTCTTGTATGAGACCATATATGGGTACTCATTATTTTCCTTTACATACAAATATCTTAAGAATCGTTTTTGCACCTTCTCAATTAGGTCTGAGTTAGGTGACCAGATGCTTGAAGCCGAGCTTGAAGCGTACTCCATGTGAGGTCTCACTAGGGCATTATAAAGTTTTACCATAGTATTTATTTTAAAGTTTTTGCCATTGCGCAGTACAAACCCCAATGCACGATATGCTTTATTGACAATGTCGCAGTAGTGGGTGTTGAACCTTGCGTTTGTTTGAAAATGAATTCCGAGATCTTTAATTGTGCTTTTTCTCTCAAGTTGGTCTCCGTTAATGTGATAGTCTTCAACAAAATATGACTTTCTACGAGTGTATGTCACCACTGCACATTTTCCTACATTAAGATTCATTTTGTTATTACGAAACCAGTCGGCTACTAAAGATAATTGTATAGTGCAATATCGTAGGCTTAAGCGTTGTCAAGATGGTCCTGGGTATCTGGCGGTGAAGTTTTTTAACAAGCTGCCAGGGTGTGTGAGGGAGTTACCAGCAGAACAATTCAGGAATGCCTGTAAAAAATTGTTAATAGACAGAGCATTCTATAGTTACGAGGAATTTTTAAACTGTGATTTATTTATTTATTTATTTATTTATTTATTTCAAACAGTATCTACAGCCAAAAAGCCAATTACAGATACCTATGCTTATTCTAAAAGTATGTAAAATGTCATCAAATTAATAACTATTACAACATCCAACGTGAA